CAACACGAAGGCGCGGGAAACAATTGGAGCAGCCTCGATTCCCAGACCGATCGGACTTGCAAATCGGCCGCTTCGGCCAACATCATAATGCATCTAATAACATAATAGGGGTACTCAGGGCTGTTTTTCTGGCGGAACGCGCCAGAACGGCGTTCCAGAACCTCTTCGTGGAAATGAAATTCCCCGAGAATCTTTAAAAGAAAGTTCACGAATAACACTTTTGAAATGAAGGACACGTATCAAATTTGGAAACTGCTTTAAATTCGACGCAAGTGGTGCACGAAAATAATGTCGTTTCAACGAATCTTATATGTTTTTCCTTCTCATTTCCCTTTTGCGAGTCTCTCGTTTAGCAGAAAACAACTCTAAAGACGTTTATTTTGCGCTCGTCGTTTTAGCTTGTTCGTTACAACACGGCCACAGTCTGTCGATAATTTGGGCATTCTGTCGCTCCTTTTGTTTGCTTTGTGACCGCATGGTCCTCAACGCGCAATCAGTATCTATTCTCGTCCTGACTCGCGAGTGTCGCGCGATTAGCAGTTTCACTCGCTGACTGCGGCTGCCTCTTAATTGCACGTTGCATCAAGGATGATGCCATGCGAGCGCGTGCATTGTCTGCGGCTCGCGTGGATTTTTCACTTCCGAGAGAAGCTACGCGAGTAAGACGGTATTCCGCATACCTCGCGATATCGCGTGCTGTTGAACGGTGGGCAAGCTTTTTTGCTGTTGAATGCGACCCAAGGAAAACGAATTTATCCCGAGGAGGCGAACGACGAGATTCGCAGAATTCGCGATGGCGCGGCGGTCGACGTGGAAAGTGCCTGCCGGTTGCAAGATCACCGCGTCCAAAGTGCACGCATCATGTGCGCCCGTCACCGGCTCGCCGTCGTTTTGCCGGACATTATTATTTTTATAAATAGACGGACCGTGAAGCCAGTAGAAAAGAAACGTCCACCTGCGTCAGAGTAACGAGCTTAGAGCCAGTCATAACGAGTGCGTCGCGCGACGCATGAGAGAGCATCTCAACCTTGACTGGCGCTCGGGGTAACACTGTGATCCTCGTGATACTTTGTGGCCATCGCGATCTAGGACATCCTACTTAAGACCACACCAGCCAGATGCCTCGAAACTTTACGACTCGCGGTTCGTATTGTCGATTATTATCATCATCGTCATCATCGTAACTACTATACCGCTCTCACCGCAAGTAACAATATGATCTGCCTCAGATAATAAAAGTGTGTCGCTTTCATTGGTGACAATATTTCGCGCTCGTCGTGCATTACTGTAGACGCCAGAAATAGACGCACACTGTAGCGTGTTCACAGCGCGCGCCTTTTTGCAGCAAGACACACGAAAAATTGAAAGCACCTCGGAGCAAGCTTGAGCCCTCGTCGAGCAACTTTCTCCTGCGCGAACTTCCGTTGTTATTTGCACGCGCAGCACGGCAAAGTCGTAAAGAATTATCCGTCGCGATTATTTCGCTTAGATATATACTATATATATATATATATATATATATATATATACATATATATATATATATATATATATATATCGCTCACCGTTGGCGCGTGCGAGACCGACGATGCATATCCAGCACAGGGCCAGTCTCCAGAAACGGTCGGCCATGTCCATTCCCCGGATAATTACGAAACGCCCGCCGACTGTACTCGCGATCCCTCGAGGACAGACAAATGAAGGGAGGAGAGAGGAGGACGGGAGGAGAGGAAGGACGGACGGGCCGGACTTTTCGTATTATCAGCCAGGCACTCTCATTTAGTCGGGCGTGCTCGTACTCTTCACAGGAGAGCAGATTCCTCGGCCTCGCCGTCCTCTCGGCCCTTGTCTGCCGCGACGATGGAGAGAAAACTCGCGACGACGTGCAAGCAGTGACTCCACGTCTCGTGAATATAAAATCCGCAGTAAGACCGTCGGAATGGGCCTCGATGGAGACGCGCGAGAACGATGTTCTCCGTGCGGGCACGCGAGAGACACTGACGGGCCCAGCGAGTGGCGGGAGAGTTTGAACCGCCAGCAGACCCAGTCCTCAGCGTCGACCAGTGGCGTAGACGCGGGCCAGATCTCGGCTCTGAGCGATGACAGCTCGCGCAACATTAATTGAACGGCAAAATCGTGCGAATCGGCTCTTCCATCCGGCAGACCCGAACGAGATTGAGATAAGGAGCGAGATACAACCCAACTGATGGTCGTTGCAGCAATGATATTCCCGCGATGATGTTCTCTTATGGGTTCCATGTCACTTGTTTTTTTGCGGAGGAACAAATAGTCGAAACTGGAACGCCTCTCCTCATCTTGTGAATTGGAACGCGACTTATTGCGGTCGAATTGCGTTACGCGCGGCGCAGAATCACGCGAACTGAACTGCGAGTTGGAAGCCAACATTCGCCATATTTTGCGAGCACCTATGGGCGCCACACACGACGCCACTGTCACCGTGAAACAAAAGACACACGGATGAGAAAGTGGCGGCCGCCGCAAACCAATTGCAATGGTAGGATCGTGCGAGTGTGCGCGTGTGCACGTACAGCTTATCTGGTAAGTGGAATAAGCTCGGGGGCCGGAATAATTGCGAGAAGGCATAACAAGTCTCGCGCTAATTGATTTATAGGCCGATGGACCGAGGAAGATTCGAAGTGTTCCAGACGATGGCGTCTGGTATACACGTATCCTACCATCTCATAGTGAATCGACGCGAGCCACGTCCCTAGTCAAGTCAAGTCAAATCAAGTTTTGGGCCCCACAGACGCAGTCTCGTTGTGTACCGTTGTGATCCGAGAGAGGAACCTTTCCCAGACCCGTTCTCGTTCCTTCTCCTTTTCTTTCTCCTTTTTTCTGCTTGTTGCTTTTCTCTCCCCTTTTATTTTCGAGGTCTGAGCAAGGCGGTGTTTTATTAACGTGGGCGTGCGGAGCCAACGGCACCTCTCGCGCTGGGCCTTACATGGATGCACCGTGAGTCACTGCCCAAAGCGGCGGTGTATGTATGTAAATGTATTCTGCTTACTTTATTCATGCGTCCATACGCAGGATGTGACGGCCGGGTCCGTAAATATCAACAGCGATGTTAAAGGCGCAACCGACGACGACGACGACGATGTTCCGCGGATATATTGAGATCGATCGATCAACGACCGACAAATAAAGGACGACGATCGACTGACACGAGGTCACCGTAGGAGCTGTATGAATTTCTCTAACCAGCGTGAGAGTGGGAACCGCGAAGGATTCGCAAGTGTATTTGTCTTTCCACGACTGCCCACGACTAAAGCCAATAATGTCGACACGGCGAGAGACAAGTGTAAATTTGCCCGCGCCTAAGAGCCCCGACGAGCTCCTCGGACAAGGCCCAGACAAGCGGATGTCTGCCCCGCGGGCCTACCTTCAGAGATGCCGTCTTCGTGGCATCGCGTAGGACACCTCGTGTCCGTTCGTGTACGGTACTTCTTCTGTTAACCATTATTGGACCTCGGGTGAAAGTGTTCGCTTGGGTATTTCGCAACGCAGGCGGTCGGTATCGCCGCGCATTGAAGTCTCCGCGGCTCGTAGATATCGGTGCAAGGCGACGAGACGACTCTCGTGAACGGCGGGTTATCCGGGATTTGACGTCTCGCCGCGATGATTTTAGCTTTCGCCGCTAGCAATCGCGTTGTGACATTCGTCACCTGACACGAAATTGACATGGGAAATTAATTTATCTCGTATAAATGTGCAGATTTGATAGGCACGGAATCCGAAGGAACAACAAATTGCTCGTTTCACTCGTTTGAGACTCTCGCAAGAGTTTGCCTGTTGATTGACTCGCAATGAACAAACCGTTTTGATTGAAAAAAACAAAATCTTCAGTTCTTAGAATCAAATTTGGGTCATGAGAAATTTCGTGACCAATTTCGTTCAACCGAAAACAAACCGCGTGTTGGTTTGTTCACTGGAACTAAACCTCACGTTAATACCGCCAAATTCTTTTCTTCTGCGTGCGTTTCTTATTGTTCACGGACAGCGAAATGATCGACGAAGTCTTCTCGCCGAAGACCGTCGCGCTAATTGAGCGTTAAAACGACGTTAATCCTGATCGAAGGGGCCACGGGCCGCGAAGCAGAACGGCAAGCCGTATGCATGTGTGTGTGTGTGTGTGCAGCTTATTGTTTTTCTTCTTTTTTTTCGGGCACATACCAATGCCGAAGCAATATTAATCAAGCACGTCGTGCGTCGGGTAATTTAAATTCCCGTTAATTCGCCGGACTCGGATTGCCACTCGTTGGCGTGCGCGGGGGCATTGTCTCTTCCTCTTGTGGATACCGTGCGAGAGCGGGATAACCGCTAATTGCTTATCGTGCGACGGCGTTAACGAAGCGCGGATAATTAACGAAACGAAACGGCCAAATGAAAATCGCCGTCGTCGCCGTCCTCGTCGCTGTCGTCGGATCGAGCGAACGCAATCACCGCGTCGCCGATGACGCTAATAAATCCGCGACGGCGTGCCCTTTTGCGGAAACAGCGGCTTCCACCGTTCCACGTCCTCATTAGAGGGAAGAGCCTCTCTCTCCTCCGCCTGCCCTCTTCATCCTCCTCTGTCTGACTCTCTATTTTGTTCTTTTTTTCTAAAGCAGCGAGACGCGCTACGCTTAATCGTGGATACTAATTACGACGTTCGCGAGATAATGAAATAATCTTACTACGCGTAGCCCGGGAGGCCGCGGACTTCCTTGAGAACTTTTTCAGCGCGCGTCGCGAGCGCTTTATTAGTCGCGGAACGGCGACGGCGCCGCTACACGCGACGCGATGGCGAATTAGTCTCGTGGGATTGGCCGCTCGTTATCGGGACGAAACACCGGGACTAATCGTCGACGAAGCTCACTTTGTTCCCTCGATGAACGGCTTACGCATTGACCCCACATTGCGTCGCGGCCGTCGGACGAGTTTGCAACCTCTCCGAGTCCCCGCGAAATTCGTGTAGAAATAACAAGAATGAAGAGCAGAGGTCAACTTGTACAATGGGTATGTATTTTACAAAAATAAATACACGACGTTCAACGTCCTTTCGCTCAAACGGGATACCAACGTGACCTATGTACAACGCGCGCGCACGTGTCTCTCTCGGGAAATATATTAATTTACTTTACAATACTTCGCTTCTCGCGCGCCTCAACGCGACTCGAAGCATGCGACACAACAGCGGAACGTTCGGCGAAATTAATTAGCCAGCGACACGCGAAGTTTCCTCTTCGTCGTGTTGTCTACATCCCGCTTTACGGACGTAGGACATCCGCCTGACACGCTGCGAATGTTATTTCCGGCGAACTGATGAAGTCTTAGGTGAGGATGCAGCAGGAAACGACAGCTATCACGAAGTACAGGCTCGCTCTGAGGCTGAAGGGCGAGCCGGAGGAGCTGCGTTGATTTAGGATCTGGCACTGCGAGTTCCTGAAGTGCTTGACGTTACCCTCAGAATCGCGCGCCAACACGCATAGCTCGTACTTCGTGCTCGACTCCTTCAGATCGTGGATCCTGAAGGATCTCTCGCTGTAGACGACGTCCTTCTCGATCGTGGACTTGCTGCTGCCGAATTCTCGGACCACCACGTAGAAGTCGCCGATGTCGTCGCGCGACGTCACATACCACGTCGCCTTCCAGCTCTTGTCCTCGGTGTCACTGAAGACAGATTGTTATTTACATCTCCCGAGACATATTCAGGGCAACTTGACGTTGCAACGACTATCCGAAAATAGCGGAAAAATAACAAGTATGATATAAAAGTCACGTACTATTCAATGTTTCGATACTTCACGTCCGGTGTGATGTCCAGTTCGGGTTCTTCTTGAATGTCCCTCTCTCCGCAGTTCATGAGATCCTCCGTGATACCTGAGATGGGTTTGTCCGCGAGATAATTCGGGCTGTTGCACCTCACGTTTGACCATTCTGTTGGAAGTTGCGTTTGGGCATTCAGCCACCTCTTTAGTGGCCGCGCGTGGCAGTCACAGTGCATTGGATTACCTTAGAAAAGAACAAGCTTTAATATTGAGATACAAAAACTATTCCACTGAATATAATTTCTGATAATGAATATTTTATCAATCGACGATCTAATTAAAGTGTCTTTAGATTGTCTATCGTTGAATGTAATTGTTTAATTTCTCGTTACCAGAATATTTGAGTATTGTGCCATTCTGAATGATCCTCATGTATTTCTCGTCGAACACGCCAATCTCGTTCTCCTTCAGGTCGAAGACCTTGAGATTCGGCAGCGGTAGTATCTTCTCGAGAGGCATGTGACTCAGGTGATTGTTACTCAGGTACAGGCTGGTTAAATTTGACGGCGGCAGAAAAACGTTTCGATCGGAGATGTCGCTTATGTCATTGTGCGACAAATCCAGCGTCTGCAAAGCCGTCAAATTCCCGATTACATCTGGAATAAAGCGATGTTCTTGATAAGCGATCCTCAGTGGCAAGTGAGCCGTTACACGGCCGAATCGTGCTCGTTATTAAAAGCCGCGCCACTCACATCTCCTGATCTCGTTGATATTGTTGTGACTGAGATTCAAGTACTGAATCTTCTTGGCGCCGGCGATGAGGTCGAACGTGACCACCGGCATCGTGTTGTAGGACAGGTCGACTTCTTTCAATCTGTAAGGAATCCAGGGATCGTTCGGCAGGGTCTTCCGTGTGATGAAGGAGATCTTGTTGTGGCTAAGATTCAGTCTCTCCAAGGACAGACAGTCGTCGAGCAAACCGTGCGTCTTGTTGTCCAGCTTTTCCAATTTATTGTGCGACAGGTCGAGAGTTCTCAGCGACACCAAGCCTTGAAACGCTCCATTCGGTATGTGGCTAATATTGTTGTTGGTCAAGTTCAACGTCAGCAGCTGCAGCAGGCCTTCGAATGCGCGGCTCGTCACGTTGTTTATCTGATTGTTCGCCAGATTCAACTCGAACACTATCGGCAGGCGGCCGAACGCGGCCTTCTCCAGTTTCGACAAGCGGTTGTCCTAAAAATGTCACCAGCAATTAAAATCTGGAGGATTACTTTTCAAGTTTTCGTAAGAACGCTTTCTCGTCTTACTTGTAAATAAAGGTACTGCAGACTGCTGAGGCTGCCCAGTGCCTGCCAGGGAGGTTTCGTGATATTGTTCGCTCGCAGGTCTAAGGTTCTCAGAGTCAACAGGTTTTCGAAGCTACCGTCCTGCAGATTATCGACCAGCCGGTTCCGCGAGAGATCCAGCGAGAGCAGCGCGTTCATCGTGGGCCACACGTCCGTGCTCGGGATCTCCTCCAACAAGTTCTCCGAGAAATCTAGCTGACCCAGCGAGATCGGCAGCTGGAATATTTTCGTCAACCGGTTGTTCTTCACGGTTAAACTCCTGGAATTGGATTTGTCGTCAGTTATTTTATGATTTATTGGGAGTAGAAATAAGTCTCCGCCGTTTGACAAAAGATGGCCCCACCAGTAAGTTATGGTTGAAATTGTCAGATGTAAAACGTCATATCGTAAGGTTGGACATCTGACAACATTATAACCTTGAAATATTAGCGATTTTGTATCAGCATCACATAATTTTTTTCGTGCGAAAATGTCGAGTTTTGAGCCGAATAAGCGTCATTTGCCGGAACTTTTAATTTACTTCTTTAATTTGAAGAAATCTGCAGCTGAGGCGCATCGATTGCTTGTAGAAGCATATGGTGAGGCTGTTTTAAGTGAGAGAAGTTGAAGTGAGTGGTTTCGAAAGTTTAAGAACGGTGAGTTTGACGTTGAAGACAAAGAACGTAGCGGAAGGCCGAAAGTGTATGAAGACACGGAATTGGAAGCATTATTGAAGGAAGATTCGTGCCAAACGCAAGAAGAACTTACACTTACATTAGGAGTGACTCAACAAGCAATTTCACATCGTTTAAAATCGTTCGGAATGATTCAAAAGCAAGGAAATTGGGTTTCATATGAACTGAAACCGAGAAACGTTAAACGCCGATTTTGCACATGTGAAATGCTGCTTGCCAGGCATAAACGAAAGAGTTTTTTGCATCGTATAGTCACTGGTGATGGAAAATGGATCCACTACGATAACCCTAAGAAAAGGAAATCATGAGGACCACGTGGCCATGTTTCAACATCGACAGCCAAGCCGAATATTAATGGAAAAAAACTCATGTTATGTATTTGGTGGGATCAGCTTGGTGTCATGTATTATGAGTTGCTCAAACTGAACGAAACCATTACTGAGGCTCTTTACCGAACACAATTGATGAGATTGAGCCGAGTACTCAAAGAAAAACGCGCCCACTACTACTCCAGACACGACAAAATTATTCTTCTGCATGATAATGCTCGTCCACATGTTGCGGCGCCGGTCAAAACCTACTTGGAAACACTCAATTGAGAAGTTTTATCTCACCCGCCGTATTCACCAGACATTGCTCCCTCTGACTATCACTTGTTTCGACCGATGACGCACGGCCTGTCTGAGCAGCACTTCACATCATATGAAGATATCAAAAATTGGGTCGATTCGTGGATAGCCTTAAAAGATGAAGCGTTCTTCCGACGCGGTATCCGTATACTGCCAGAAAGATGGGAAAAAGTAGTGGCTAGCGATGAACAATACTTTGAATAAAACATAAGGTACCGTTCTTTCACAATAAATGCCCAATTTTTTATAAGAAAACGGCGGAGACTTATTTGTACTTCCAATATTTTGCGCGCGTAGCATTCTTTGGCGAATTGACTTTGAGCAACTGCGCACCTGCAGCTGGCCAATCGAGTGAGACTACCGCGTGCGACGTCGCTCAATTGATTGTAGCTCATGTCGAGCTCCAGAAGCGTCGGTAACGGCCCGAAGGTCGACGGTTTGATCTTCTCCAGAGAATTGTGCGACAGATTGAGGAATCGCAGACTAAAAAGCGTCTGAAACACGGCGTTGTGAATCTCGGACAGATTGTTGTGCGAGAGGTCGATCGTGTGGAGCTCGTACAGCTTGGGGAAGGTCTGTCGTGGGACGGAATGTATCAGATTGTGGGAGGCGTTTAAGATTTTCAGGCCTGTCATGTTGTGCAGTGGAATCTATAAAAAATAAAGAGATACTTTGCGATAAAAACAGATGACGATGTGGCATTCGATTTGCAATTTGCACTCGTGGAAAAGGCACTCACCTGAATTAGCGACGTAAACAGATTGTAACTCAATTGCAACTCGGTGGCGTAAGTCGCGCTGTCGAAGGAATACTTGGAGATGTTTTCGAGCTTGTTGTAGCTGAGGTCCAACGACGTGATGTTTGCGCAGTTCTCGAAAGCACCCGGTTCTATCTTAGAAATCTCATTGTGAGACAAATTCACCTTCGCCAAGTAGAGATCTTTGAACGCCAGTTTCTCCACGATCGTCACGAAATTCTCCGAGACGTCTAAGAGCTGATAACATGCATGTTATTATCGAAAGGAAAACGTGAATAAAAGGGAACTGTATAGATAAGTTTCTTTTCTTCGGTAACAGCGCATGTACCTCAGCGAATTGCAGCTGGTTGAACATTTGGAAATCGACCTTCTTTATGAAGTTTCGCGAGAGATCGATGGTGCCGATCCTGGTGACGGAGCCGAAGGTTCCACGTCCCACGTCGTTAATCTGATTGTCACTCAGGTACAGTCGTCTGAGGAAGCGCATGCCGCGGAAGGTGTTCGAGTCCAACTTCCTGATCTTGTTGTGGCTCAAGTTCAGCACCTTCAAGACGGAATTACGAGCGAAGGTTCCTCTAAAATGAAAAATAGATAGCCCTTAGATATCCACGTTCGCAAAGTCTCAATAGTAGCAACAGTATTATTCTTTGTTCTTTTGTTTATCAACCTTTTCAAGTCGACGATAGCGTTGTGCGACATGTTGCACCATCCCATCTTCGTAAGGTCGGCCAGATGCGATGGATCTAATTTGTCGATCGAATTGTACGAGAGATCCAAAAACTCGGTGTCCCTCAGACCTTTGAACTGATTTCTCTTCAGGTCTTTTATTTTATTACCGTGAAGATCGAGCGTCTTCAGTTTTTTTAACGGCGTCAGTGCCTCTACAGGCAAAGAGGACAGTGTACCTGAAAGATATGACGGCTGGATTAGAATTAAACGTTTTATATAATATTTCTTATAATTTCGATAAACACACGAGAGAACTCTCTGATGATTCGTGTCAGATGTATTTTTTCTTCATTTTTACTACATCTATGATTACATTAATTGAGGTCACGTCACTCTCTTCCAACCATCGAGATTAGGAGAGGCAAAATGAGAATACATTTTTCGCTGAGGCTTCTCCCTCGAACATGATATAGCTCGAAACGAATGATTACCGTTGCTGATCTCCAATTTTTCCAGCTTCGCCGCCGCGGCGCTTTCACCGAAGCTGTTACCCGGCAAAGTAGATATCCGGTGGCCCGCTATGCTCAATAGGCTGAGATTACCGAGGACCTGCAATGCCTCGCGCGGGAATTTCTCGAGATTGCTGTTCATCACGTGCAGCTCTTGGAGTGTTCTGTTCACGCCGAGGAAGCTGTGCTCCTCGATCAGCCGCAGCGGCGTGTCGATAAACTTCAGCACCCGCACGTCCAGAGGATATAGAGCGGGTCCATAAAATCTCACTGCGTGTTTGCAAAACGGAGAAAAACACGATATGAAGAAAATGAAACTGTTCGTTCGGACGCAGCCTATTTCGTCAGCTTTCGCGAAAATGTTGTCCGGACTCTCTTTCATTTTTCTTTTCTTTTCTTTCTGTTCTCACGGCGCGAGAAATCAAATCGCGCGACTCACCTATGTTACACTTGTATAGAACCAGTTCCTCGATCGGCATGCCCTCGTTTCCCAGATTCACGAAGGCAAGGCTGAGACTGGCCAGATTTGTGTTCTCACAGCGGATGTAGAGGCCCCTGTCGCTACCCCGCAGACAAGTGCAGGGATAAATGTAGATCGTGTCTTTGGGACATCTGAACCGCGGCCCTGGCGGCACGTAGCCTCCCATGATGGACAGGGCCATGCCGAACAGCAACAGCGGCGATAACATTTCGACACCTATTCGATATCGGTGCATCGCGGAAAAGAGAAAGTCGCTTAATTCTCGACAGGCAAAAAATTACACGCACGTTAATTATAATCTCGGCAATGTGTGCAATTATGCTAACGAGCGAGACGCGGTGTAAATTCGAAAAAGACCGGGCAAGCAGATGCAAGCGTATGCGTGCGATGCGTGCAATTTCGACTTTCCCTTGACGCGACGGCGGATCGACCAAGTTGCTCGTTCGATGCGTCGAACGAGCGCGCCGCGTCGTTCACTAATAGCAATCCTTCCCTCTTGTGCGCGCGAGGCCGCTAATTACACTTAGGGTGAGTGCTTTGACTAGTCACTGCGTGATGCAACGCAGTGCAGCAGTCGGCGTCGTACGAAATGTGAGAAAGTTTTCGCTCTGTGAACTGCCTCGGTTGATCTCTCGTACGCAATCGATCGATACGCTGATAACCGTGAGCCCTGGGCGCGCCTAATCAATTCGGAGCTTCCTTTCTGAGAAAGGAAGGCAGACAGTCGCAATGGCGAAGGATCTCTCTCTCTCTCTCTCTCTCTCTCGCTTTCGGCACCCAGTGCACCCGAGGTCGTCGAACAGACCCTTCTCTCTCTCTCTCTCTCTCTCTCTCTCTTGCGGATGACTCTTTTGTCCTCTCTTGGTCGTGCGGGCCGCGTTTGAGTAAAGCGGACGATTACGTCGTCGTTGAATTCGCGATCCGATCTCCGCTCACTATCCCACGCGCGAATTTCCGAGATCCCGCGAGATCGGCCGAGGTGACTAACCGCCGACGACTATCAGCCCAAACGCGTCCTTGACGAAAAGAAGAGGCGCGCTCTTTTCGGCCTGTCCTTCCTTGACGCGACCTACGCGTGACCTACGCACCTACGCGGCGAACAACGACGACGACGACGACCACGGCGAGAAATCAAGATTTCGCGAGTGACAAGCCAGCCTCATTCGGCCGCGTAATTAATTCGTTCGACGCCGTGCCTGGAGAACGGTAATCTCTCACGCGATCCCCCGGAGAAGAAAGCGCGCGATTCTACACGGCGTTTATTTCGTTACGTCGCAAATTACCCGCTACCGTAGGGGCGACTCCGCGAGCTCAAGTGAATCGCGAACGACTTTTGCGTTTTGTTACAATGCGAGGAGGGATTGCGCAAAAGAGGCGCGTTTGTCCATACGGAAGCGTTCGGGCTATTCAGAAGACCGATAGCCCCGATTTTCCCCGCTGTGCCCGTTGCCGCTTGGACGACGAGCTACCTCTGCGTAACCGCGCATGAAACCTCGACGGAAAATTAACGGTTACGCCGAACGACGTTGCAAATTCATCGTTTTCCTTTTTTTTCCCCTCCTTTCTTTCCTCCTTTCTTCCGTTGGAAACGCTCCTTCGCGGACAATCGACACTCGTTAACGTCCCTCTGTGTGTAACGACCGACCCGCTTGCGAGGATCATCATCGCCGCCGTTCATACGACGTGGGTGGATTAGAAAAGACCCGGTTGGCCATGAAACAGGATTTTACCGTCGCGTCATTAGTCGATGAATTAATCGACGCGTCGGTACTCTGCTCATCGTATCGATTCGCACTCGCGATATCGCTCTTTCTCTCCAGTCGGATCTATGCATATTTATGCCTTCTTCTTCTTCTTCTTCTCCGAAGAACTTTCGCGATAACGTTGCGATCACCGTCAATTAACGGTTGCACAGCGCGGCGAGGAGACCGTCGTGCGCTGTCAACTAGCAATTTCGATATAATAACAACGGCAACAGGCCGCTAATCGAGTCCGTCGTAGCGAGGCCTCCCGCAATTAACGGACGGCGTACAATTAAAGTGATTGTGGGACCCACCGATCTGAGAAATGGAGAACCGTGCCTTCATTATGCGGCCCTAGTGGGGTAACTCGACGAGCGAGGGAGGTAAAAAGAAAGGCACGGTGATCTAGTTTTGAGGCGAGAGATTTGTGCAACGCGCGCTTCGCGATATAATAATATACCGATGAGCACAAAAGCCATTCTCCCAGATACATGTCTCTCGCGTTCGCACAAGGCACCGTTTGTTATCACGCGGCAGATAATTATTTTCAATGAGTATACATTTTATATGGGCAATCATCACGCGCAATAATTAAAAGTGACTATCGCGATGATCTCCGAATCTAAGACCAGATAAGACTCCATTTTATCATCGATCAGGTGATAATATTCGCGAGAAAAACAATATATTGGGAAAAACGCAGGTGCCTTTCACTTATTTCAGTCTCTCTCTCTTTCTCTTTCTCTCTCTCTCTCTCTCTCTCTCTCTCTCTCTCTCTCTCGTTCATTCTCTAGAACCTAGGAAATAACCATTGGACCGAATCATGCTGGTCTCTCGTGACTCTAAACTCGTATTGATGCCGGGAACAAAAATGCACATATGTACGTACCCGTTGACGTAACGCACCGCCGATACTCGTGATATTTATTACGGTAGACCGTGTCCGCGTACCTGGATCGCGACTGGATCAAACGACCTTTACTCGGCACTTGTCGGCACGTAAATGTTTGGAAAAAGACTTGACGGGCGGCAATTAACGAAGGGGTAGGCTTCAGGACAACGTGAAACTAACGCGACTTCCGTCACTCGGTAGCGGAAAGAATGAGCGAAACGAGGGAAAAAGAACTCCGCCACGGTCTACTTTCCGAGTGTCTATCAATTAGAGCTATTATTGTGCCGTAGCGAAGGTGATTGGCTTACGTAAAAACGCAAGGCCTGTCCGGCACGAAAAGGGCTATCATATTACCGGCTAAATACTAAAATTAACTTCCATTAAAACGGGCATTCTCGTAGAACCATCAAGAGAGCAAGAGAGAGAGAGAGAGAGAGAGCGTCTGGGGATGCGCTTTTCCATGCGCCTCTTTGGCACGGCGGATATTATCGTTTCACCGGTCGTCCTTGTGGATACCATGTCGTGCAAACACCCTGTGCCCGCATTCTTTTGCCTATTCTATACGTCTTCTATTCGCGACGCGACACGTTTTCTTGGCGTGGGATCTCGCGTCTCATCTCTCGACCTCGTAAACAGCACGAACGGATCTCGAAGTCAAGATGAAGATACACATTACATATACATGTAACATAGAATAGAATTCCCCTGGAGTTGCAAACGCTTAATCGGAACGCTTAAAGAAATTTCATGATTGGTATAGTCGGTTGCAGGTCAATTTGCACATTTTTGTCGAATGAAGTCGCAACGCTTCAAATTGTCAGAATTGAAAGTCACTGCTGATATACAAGGGCTTATATAACGATTTAGACACAATAAAATTGGGAGCACGCCAAACAGTCAAAATGGAGAGTTATTACTAACAGGCTCAATAATAATATAATTAATAACATAATTAAGAAGATTAAATAAAATAATAAATAAAAATGACATTAATAATGATTGATAGTAGTAATAAATGAGAGTGTAATTGCAAGGAGGAAAATCGTTAATAATGACTCTCGATTTTAACTGTACGCAGTAATCGGTTATGAGAGAAGCCGAAATGACAGCACAGAGTGCGACATTTGTGAAACTAGGAAGGGGGAATTTATCTTGAGAGAATTTACCTGAAATCAAGAGAACATTTTGAAGAGTAAGTTTTACATATTTATAACCGATACTGTGCATACATGTCGGCTTTCAATTCTGACAACTTGAAACGTTGCAACTTAACTCGATAAAAAGTGTGTTAAGCGCGATTTGCAATCGACTACACATATAAAAACTTTTGCAGAATATTACGAGCTAAGCAAATCGAGACGCGAGACAAGACAAAAATCTTGGCAATGGAAAACAAATGCTCCGAGTGAAGTATACAGTATTATATTCGAAGAGTTGCAAATTTTATTCGAGCGACTACAGAAAGTTAGAGAAATCGCAAGGAATCGTAAGAAGTAGGAAGAAGTAAGACCGACCTCGCTCGGTTAATTCGACGAGCCAACTAAAGCATTAAGGACAGTTATGTCGAGCAGCAGACGTAAAGACATAACGTTCTGTGCGCGCATTAAAGCCACCGTTCGCCGCCGACGACAGCCGGAGAGATGACGCATCTAAACGCACGTGGAGCCGAGAGTGGCTCACAGAAAGAGAGCGTTGCACCGTTTTAAATTTGAGAATAATGCTAATGAGCCCTTTCACGCATTGGCTCGTTAATGCAAGGCCCGCTTGATGCGAAAACATTCGTGTCATACCTGATTGTTGTATCCCGACGTCAGATGATGAGTGTTAGACGCGTCCGAAGAGGAGCAACATCTCCCACGAGCGTTTGTGGAACGATTTCAGCGTGTCACGTGCGAGAGAACCTACTGATCTACTCTAACGGAGATGATGAGCGCGGTGCCACTGCACTTTGCCCGAAAATTCTCAGAGGCGCGAAGTAATACTCGTCGTCGTCGTCGTGACTCTTCGTCAAGAATACACCGTGATGGTATCCTCGGGGTTACATGTTCGCCATCGAGCTCGAGTCGTCTCTTTCCTTTTGCAACGTACAGAGGCGAGAAGAATAGAGAAGAAGAGCGGGTCAACGAGTACACGAGTGTTTTGCCGCGCGTATCTTCAAGGCATTCGGCATGGTGGTTCCTGGGTGAAGCTGCCGCGAAAACTGAGCCGAGGCTCGGAGGCAAAGAGAAAGGCAGCCTCAGAAGTGAGTAAGTAAGGCCTCCCTCATTGGCAGTTGATAGGCGCTGTCCTTTCGCGGACATCCTACCTTCTGCCACCGAGTCGGCGCGAACGGCGAGCGCGTTTTGACAAAACGCGATCGCGCCTTCGAAATCACAATGGACCGATCGGCAACCTTGCTCAATTTCTCAATTGAATGATGAACGCGCGAAGAAAGATTCGTTTGTCTTGACGGGTTTAAAAAAATAAAGAATTTCGTATTAAATTATGTGTAATTAAATTATATCATATTTAATTATATGTGTATTTTTCTGCAGTCTTTTTCTTTTTATGATAAAAATTGAAAATTAGCGGAACGTTAGTCGACCTTTGAAAATTGCGGAACAGTGATTTCTTCCTGTTTCGCGCGATATTTTTAAACATTCACGCTTTCGTTCCATCGTAAAGTGAATGACCGATTGAAAAACTGAATTGCATAATAGTTTCATGTGCAATATGTTCGATTCGACACGGCACTGTACGATCCTGGCGCTGGAAGTCTCGAGCGTAGAAGAAAGTCCGCCGTGGAACGGCATTGGTCGGCGTTAGTGAAAGTACATTCGAATAGTTGCCTCGGTACTCGACCGATTACGAGTCCGTCGATTCAAGGCACGAAGCTGACATCTGTTGGCGCACAGACAAATTTGGATAAACATACCCGGTCGAAAAGTTTAAGGAAAATTATTTCTGCGAAAATCGCCAAGCTCAAGTCACTTGCGATTGGAACATTTATTAATTATCGAGCCTTTACCACCGAAGATTTGCGTCCACTCCTTGATTATTTTTTTCACAGATTTCTATATAAATATATTCTCTCTCTCTCTCTCTTTTAATCTCTTTAAACTTACATAGATGTCTTTTCTACTTTTAAAACATCGAGACTCGCTTCGCGAGCATCCCTCGACACGACAGGATGTGACAATTTAAACGGTCGTTTAAGCGATAACAAGAAGGAACAACACGCGTTTTTTCAGACATTACACGGCTATTAAGGTCGTGATACTCGTCAAGTTCTTTAGTTTCGCGCTCCTCGCAGTACTTGGTTGCATTACCCGCCGAACAAAGCGTTAGAACCTTCTCGCCGTTTTGAGGACCGTGACCAAACGACAGAAACATGAGACTACTGCTGAATTTTTCGTTATTATTATTGTGTGAGTAAAAGAAAATTCTTTGCAATTCCGACACGTTTGTATTCGAGTCCGTAATCTCATTTTATTCGTAACGCTTTTCGGCAGATACGATGGGCGTGCCGATGGATCACGATAGATTTCTGGTGAGAATCCACTTTTATTTTAAGTCTCTTTGACGAGATATCTTTAGCGAGTTATATTCACCTTGCGAATAAAAGCAAAAGTTGAAAGAAAGTAATACTATGCACATAGGATAACGATTATGGAGGAATAACTCAGAAGGATCTCCAAAAAATGCATTTCACCTTTAGTTGCGAAGGCAGGCTACCCGGTTTTTACGCGGACGTTAAGCATAACTGCGAGATTTTCCACGTTTGCGCCGAGAACGGTGACAGTACCCCGGTATTGTGTCCCTTCCAAACCTTGTTCGATCAGCGACAGAGCATGTGCACGGATGAGGAGGTCCCTTGCGTGCAATCGGAACAATGGTAGAAAAAGAAAGATACGATACGTTGCGCTTGTAGAAAAAAGAGCAACAGGAAAGGAAATAGTAAGATTTCACGATGACACAATTGCTCGTTGCAGGTATTACTTGGACGATAAGAATTACTACACTTATTTCATGGAGTCTAAGAACAAAGCCGAGACGGTACTTGAAGAAATCGAAGTGGACACCGTTCGACCGCTCGAGAGTAATTAAACCTCGAGTACTTTGTTTTACGGTATGTCGTTTATAATAATGTACACTGAGAGCAAGATACTTGAAAATTTCTTTGCGGGATGTAAGTTTCATTTCTGCGAATAAACTCTTTATATTCCTCACGAATAAAATTTCAAGTATTTCCCTCTCGTTATACGTGCAAAATTATTGTGCTTTACGAACGCTATCGTCGCGCGATAGGACGCGCGGAAGCGATGACCTACAGCTGATCGCGAGTAACTTGGAACAATAATGTTTTTGCACGTGATCGTTTCGTGTGTACATAATGTAAATAACAGATCGTGAACCGATCTCGTATCGCTTTCGCAGTATTCTGGACGTCCCGCCAAGGAAGATTGCGTGTACCTTCCCCTGGATCTTGAGTCTACGTTCGCTTTTGTGCTCTTGTTGGCGGCCAGGTACATCTTTTTACCGCATGCAACTGGCGTAGAGCTCGCGAAAAGGAAAAAAGTGAAGGAAAGAGAGGAGATGCACGAAGGAGACCTTCGACGTCGGTAGTCCGGAATAATCTTGGATCTATTCTCGACCGTTCGAACCTGACCATTCAAGGTTCTTGAAAGTTGTAGCGCCGGTATTTTCGATATGGAATACGGCAGGCATTTGGGGGAATGCGTCTCGTCGGTTTTAATGCAATCTACATAAAGCTCTGCGACCTTCTTATTCGACGTAATGTCTGCGTTTTTTTCCGATTAATTATGACGAAAGAATCCACGTTTAATTCTTTAGACTGAAAAAGAGAAGGGAGAGAGAGAGAGAGGGATAGAATTAAATTTAAATTCTCTAAACTTGCTTTTCTTAAGAAATTACTTAATCGCTTAATTGTATATCGCGTCATTGTTGCCGATTGATTTAGTTTGCCGCGTATTGTATGATCGCTATTAATATCAGTGATGCACACAGCGCCGTGAGAGAGGGAGGTAGAGAGAAAGAGAAATTGCGCAATGCAATACGTGTCAATTAATGATTGTATCACGACGGGACAGTAGCGAATACATGCAACATAAGTACACACCATTTATTTTCAATCAGACATTAATCAGACATCGTCAGAGAGCGTGACAGCGTAACTTAAGATCTATATGTTGATAATTCGATATTTATTCTGCGGTACGATCGTACGATGCACGACCGTACGACATCGTTTAATGCCGTGCTGTTATATGACCTCTAAGAAGGTTGCGAAGTGTCGCCCGCCACCGTAAAAAAAAGAGAGACAGGAAGAGAAAAGAAAAGAGAAGATCCATAACAATAATGAAATAAATATCTCTTACGAAATGGCGTGTGTTTGTTCTTTTGATCGAAATGCGAGGGACCGTTTCCACAACCATCCACCGAGAACACCGTTTCTTCAGGCTCTAAATTGTCCTATCCTAAAACTTAGAGAGCACACAACTCTGTGCGCGAGGCCCGCGTAGCCGACGCGTTAAACACAAAATTGAGAAAACACTACTATACGCGTCCGTGAAACTTGTTTCCTCTTTCCTTCCGACCCTTCAGCGCTCACTGAATCGTCTTGAGGCCGACAATTGTTAAACAAGAGCCCGGTCAACGGCTCATATCTATCTCCACGACGTGGAGCGAACGCGACCACGGCGAGAGTTAATGCGAGAGCGTAAAACAAAAAAAAAAAATAGAGAGAAAATTAAAGCTAACCCAATATAATTCGATATGCTGCGTCGGACCTCGAGGAAAGTCCGTGCACGAGACGATAACGCATATATATTTATAATACTCTTAACGAGGCGTTTAGCATGCCTGAGATTTTAATACAGTATGATAAGCGGGCCTGATCGGTACTATTTCCCGTGATAATAGCCCTCATTGTGCGGCCAGGTGATACCGGGACCGGTTTTGTCGTTGTCGTAGACGTATTTGACTTGCGGGTTATCCGAGCCGAACATACTCTGCCGGAGCATGCCGAACATGGCCGAGGCGAGGGCCATATTACTGATCATCCCGGCCATGGACGCGGCCGCCCTCGCGTGAGCCAAGGCGGTTTGGATGAGGAAGGATATCACGAAGCCGATTCCGGGCAGCATGTTGCTCATCTTCATCTTCATCGCTTTGCCGAGGTGCACCACTGCACTCGTGATCTTCCGGGATATCACGTCCTCCCGCAAACTCGGCAACTGCAGCCTCAGTTCTGAGCGCGCGTCCTTGTCAGAGAACGACTCGATGGTATCTTTGATCCTGTTGTCATGATGGGGATCGCCGACTTTCGTCGCGGCGATGCTCCTCGCGTATTTATCCGAGTACTTGTTCAGAAGAGAATGAAAGTTGCTCTTCGCGCGATGCTCCCGTTTACGCGCTTCTTGGCCCTCCGTGGATTCCTTCTCGAGGTCGTAGGATATCTCTTCCTCTTTCCAGGGCGCCACCTTCGCGTTCTCTGCCTTCGCGTTGAATTCCTGAGCGCGGTCCTCCTCGGGATTCTCCCTGTTCAAGCTTCTCAGATGCTCCTCCGTGAAGGCTTTTAGCCGACTCGCGAATTTGTCGTTCAAGCGGGTGCCGAAGAGCACGCCGAAGGCATTATAAGCGTCCTCCATGTTCAGGTACTGAGTGACGTCACCTTCAGCGAAATCGCTGGCGTTAGCTTTGATTTTGTCCAAGAACATGGTGATTATCTGATCGTCGTTTATGGAGCGCTTGATGTCGGCGTATTCGTCGCTCTCCTTGAGCAACTGGAAATCCGCCTCTTGCACATCGTCGAGACTTCTCTCTCGTTTCTCTTTGTTCTTGATCTTCTCGTTATCCGGCCGCTGGTCGAGCACCTCCTCCATGATGTCACTGATGATCGTCAGGATACTTGGCAGATTCTTGTTGTCCTTAATCTTCGTGGCTCGTCCTTCGCGGAAGCCGTTGAAGCTGATACCCACTTCGCCGTTACCGTAGCCGTTCACCTTCAGAAAACCTATGTTCGTTTGAAACTTGTCCTCCATCAGTCTCTTGTACCAATCCAAAAGGATATTTTCAACCGATTCTTTCTTCGCCAACAACTCTTTCTCGAAATCGCTCGTGGATATGCCGAAAAAGTTCTCCACTTCGGACTCCGTCGATCTGCCGAGCAGACCAAGACCAGGGATCACGGGTAAAGACGGCAAGCCAAGTAAGGACGGCACGGTGCTAGTGATCATGGGCCAGACGAAGATGCCCATGCATCTGATGAAGCTCAAGCTGCGTATACATTGGATCACCCGTGTCAGCAAGCCGCGATTGGTGTTCTGCTCGTTCAGGATCTCGACGATCTTCAGGATCTCGTACTGATCCGCGGTAAGAGAGTTCTTGATTGTAGAATTCAATGTGTCCACGAAGTACTCCGTCTTGGCCTCCTCTGGCCTCTGCTCCGAGACAGCCTTGGATCGCGAGATATTAACTAGAAGCTGAAGAAACTCGGATTCCGTGATGTTCGGGAATGTGTTGTTCATAGATTCGAAGGTCCGTTCGACCGTTTGCCCGTCGGTCTCGTAGTAGAAGTTGGACAGCCGTTCGGCGCTCCTGCGCCTCCTCCTGCGTTTCGTCGACGATTGATCCGAGAGAACGGACCCCGGCGATGGACCTCGTTGTTGCTCGATGTCGGACAAGTGGACCTTCTCCTTAGAGATATCTATGAGGATGCTTGACGGCTGCCCGAAGTATCCGGGGACGGCTACTGACTCGTCTGAAAGGAAAAAGGAAGCAAGAAGAGATCGCGGATCGATGAGTCGCACGGCGAAGAGCGCAGAAGTTATTTCGCGCTTAGCGGATTAGATTGATTCACCTACTGACGGAGTGTTCGCAGCCACCGAAACTCCACTTATCTGGTACGTCTGTTCAGCGTTCAGTTGAAGCCTCGGTTGAATCGTCTGCTCCTGCGGCTTTGTCTGCAGCGTGGCGGCCGGCAGGCGCTTTACGTACGACGGGAAGCCGAGGCCGCCTAAGCTAGGGAACTCGGAGATCCCTGGAATCTGAGAAATGCCATCTTGAATGCCGGCTGGAATACCGCCTTGTATCGCGCCTGGTATCGCGGTAATTTGTGAGGGAAACTCGGCGAAAGGGTAGCTTCCCACGCCGGGGAAAGTGGGAAACTGCCCTGTGAGATCGGAAATCTGTCCCGCGAAATCGGGAATCGCGCTCACGCCAGGGATTTGGCCGAACAGCTGGTCGAAACCCGGCAGAGCCGGTGCGTATTGCTTCAAGGTCGGCCAGCTGACGTACTGGGTGCAAGTCATGAAGTTGTTGCTCCTCACGCATTCCAGCATATTCGTAATGTAAGCACGACGTACGGAATCCGGTATCGCTTTCTCCGTCAATTTCATGATGTTTATTTCGCGAGCGGTCAAGAGATCGCCGATCACGGGATTACTCGCGTCCAAGTAGGAGTTGTCCAAGCGCGCCGAAGCGTCCTCCTTGCTCACCAGCTCCTTCAGCACATTCTCTATCTTGTCCTCTGCGCTCTCCATGGCGCTATTTGGAATATCCTGAAACTTCTTGTCGGACAGTTGATTCTTCGAGTAGACGTTGCGGAGCAAGATGGATGTTCTCGGCTTGCTTTCCGAGCTGCGGAAGTCCGGGAAGTTCGGCAGTCGTGGGAAAAACTGAGCGATAGTCGGCCAAGCGATGTCCCGTGTGCACTCGAGGAACGCGTTCTTGCGAACGCAAGAGACCATTCTCTCGACGAAAACCGGTCTCACTGATTCCGGCAGCAGACTCTCGGCGATCTGGACAATGCTGCTCTGCTCTTCCGTAAAGTAAGACATGATCTCTGGCGACCTCGAGCTAATCATGGAATTCCCGGTGTAATCCGGTGTGGCGTGCTGCACCGCTCTCAGGATCTTCAAGATCACGCCCTCCGGATGTTCCGAGAAGATGGGGAAGAATCTCGTGTGTGTGGTCGTGACGGTAGCATCCCCGTGTTGACCGACCTTGATGTCGGTCTCCGAAAGTGGCGACGTGTCGGTTAGATTCTGCGGTGAAATGGGCTTGCTGTCGGTCGCCTGCGCTCCGAAATTTGGAAAGCTGGGTAGTCGAGGGAAGTACTCCGACAAGGTGGGCCACAATACTTCTCTTGAGCACACCAAGAAGCTCTCTCTGCGAATGCACTCGACCATCCGCTCGACGAAAGTGGGACGAGCGGTGTCGGGTAGCAGGTCCTCCGCCGCCCTGAGAATGTGCTCCTGCTGATCGTTGAACAGATCAACGAACTGCTGAGTGCCAGTGATCTTGGTCGTCTGATCGCCTGGCGCATTGGGCGAAGACAGATGGATCGAACGCAGGATGTTGAGTATCACCGATTCGGGATGTTCCGTGAAAATCGGCACGAAACGCGTGCCGGTTACACTAATCACGGGGGTGTTGCTTTGCGGGTACTTCGTCCTGGAGATGATCTTCACGTTGGGATTCGCCGCGTCCCGCGAATTGTGCCACTGTTCCCGCTGCTCCTCGCTGATCTGATGCGGGGTGTTGTTGTCTTTCAGCAATGCCTGTTGACCCTCTTGACTCGGTGGCTGTCGGTTAGGCGGTAGACTAGGGAACTCCGGCAAATTCGGAACGTAAAGAGCCATCGTGGGCCAGACGATGTACTTGGTGCAGTTGATGAAGTCGTTGTTCGTCTGGAGGCATGCGAGAACCTGGTTGACGAGTGGTGCCCGAGCTGTAGGCGGCAGAATGCTCTCCGCTAATTTCAATATGTTGATTTGCTTATCGGTGATGGTCGTCAAGATGATCACGTTGCCGCTGATGACCAACTGCGAGTTCTCTGGTATTGCCTTCAGGGAATTACGCACTCTCATGAGAATCTCGGTGATCTTGTTCTCCAGTTCAGTGGAAGAGATCTCATGTTGACGGAACAGTATCGTGGGAAATCGACCAGACTGCTCCTGGCTGGTGGAATCGCCAGATTGTGGCGGCTGTTCAGTGGTAGGTGTCGCGCTTCCGCCACCTAAACCGGATATGAAGGATGGTATGTAATCAGAGAAGTTCGGCAGCTCCGGCAAGTAGGAGCCGAAAACTTGCGGGATCGACAAATTTGGCAACCAAAAGGTGATATCCGGCAAACCGGGATTAGATTGCTTCACCGTCGGCCAGATGGAATACCTGACACAGGTCATGTAATTAAACTCCTGAATGCACCTGACGGTCTTCTGAACGAACTCCGGCCGGTACGGGGTGGGAAGAAGTTGCTCGGCCATGCGAATCGATAGTAATTGTTCCGGCGGCAACAAGGCGACGTAAGAATCGACGTTATGCGCGACGGACGGGGGTGGTACCTTCGCGTGCTCTTTCAGGGTGTTCTGTAAAATGTTGACGATCACCGCCTCCGGCTTGGGCCTCCTCATTCTCGTGGCGTCGGCGTCCACGACCTCCGGCAGCTCACCCGACGTTTCCACGAAGCTGGGGAAGGGCACGATAGGGTACTGCGGATAAAATGCGACGGGCGGATACCAGGTTTGGTAATCCGGGAAGTCCGGCAAGTCCGCGTGGTACTGCCTCACCATCGGCCACGCGAAGTACTTGACGCAGCTGAAATACTCGAACCTGCGCACGCATGAGAACATCCTGTCGGAGTATTCGCGACGTGCCTCGCCGGGCAAGAGTCTCTCGGCCATCTGCAGGATCTGCACCTGGCCGAAGGTCAGCAGCCTCCTCAGGGTCTCGTTCTTGAAATCGATGTAAATAGGTCCTTGATAGTATGTGGTCTTCGAGTCGAGGGAGTTCTTCAGGATCGCGAACACGACGGACTCCGGCGTGAGGAATCTCGGCTGGTGAGCGCTGCTCTCCGATCGCGCTGCCTTCTGCCGTTGAAACAGATCCATCAAGTTGATCTCGATCGGCAAGTTGTTCAAGGTCTCCGTGACCGACTCCGGCATGTTGTCGAGCACGATGGGCCAGATGAAGATGCGCATGCAATTTAGCACGCTGAGGCTGCGTATGCATTCCGTCATGTTTTCCACGAAAGACTGACGTTGTTGTGTCTCTAACAGCTGCTCGGCGCACTTGATTATCTCCAATTGTTCGTGGCTCAGCGCGCTCGTGTTCAAGGACGTCGAGAACGTCTCGTTCGGTTGCGAGATAGGTCTCGCTCGCGACTGCCAGATATTCCTCAAAGTCTCCAGCAATTGATTCTCCGTAAATCTCGGTATATCGGGAAGCATGTTCTCGATCGTCTGTTCCCGTAAGTACTGAAAGGACGTCCGGTTTCTGATCTGTTCCTGCAGCATCTCCGCTTGATCCTTCCATGCCTGCAGACGATTAAGACCGGTCTCAGTCGTTAAAGAAGGTCGATCGAGACTCTCAGTCAGAACGGACGTATTTTTCGTGTCGCTGTTGCGTTGATTGCGAATCTCCTCGTTCTCTTCTCCGCCGACCACGTCGATCCCTACCGATCTGCCCGGGAGAAGTGCGTCGTCGTCCAATTTCGCTGCGACTTTCACGCCGTCGCCGGCCGACTCGAGGGCGTCGTCGCGTATGGATATCAGTCTTTTGATCTGGCCGTCCACGATCGACTCTTGGTCGCGGCCAGGTGTGCCGCCCTCCTCGGCGCTCAGGTACACGGTCGAGCTTTTGTACTTGGACTTACCTGGCACCCCAGCTAAGTGCCTCTGTTCCCTGTTGACATCCGGATCTTCTTCTCTCGTTGCGACTTCCTCGACGACGTGTTCCTCTGGACTCCTCTCGCTCGAGTCGCCAAGCTCCAGCGCAAGCTCGAGCCGGCGCAGATCATTGCGCACTTCCTCGTCCCCGCCGATCTTCTCGATCCGCGTCTTGTCCACATTGACCGCCGCTGAATTCTTCAGCTGTCCCGCTTCCTCTTTACTCAAATTTATCTTCTCTGCCGAACTTGCAACGTCGACGTCCTCGAGTCTCTCGCGAAGACCGCCGGAGATCTCCGCGTAGATCTCTCCTTCCGGCCGCGCCCCGTCTTCATCGTTGCGGCGATCCGCGTTCTTCACGTTTCCGTGCGACCGTTTCACGTCGATCGATCCTCTTTGATGATTGAGCCTGACGTCTTCGTACAAGTGCGAGAGGTCCTCGGCGATACCGTCGCTCAAGGTCTTCCGTTGACCCAACGCCTCGCTGTCGTCTGATTCGACCTGCGCGTCGAATCGTCGGATACCCTCGTCCTTCTGCGGGTTACCTTCGCCGTCCTGCAACACAGACTTATCGCCGACGAGACTCACGTCGTTTCTTCGTCTCTTCTTCGCCATGTTACCTTCATCGGCGACAATCTCGATCCGCATCTTCTCGGGTTCCCCGACGAGACGTTCTCCCAGATCTCTTCCGCCTTCGACGACATCACTATCATCCTCGTTCCCGTCGTGTCCGACGTAAACATCTTCTGTCAGACTTCTCCCGTGCACTTCTTCATGCACATCGCCCACCACTGCCTCTTGCGCTGTCCCGTCAAGATTAGGATCACTCGCTTCCACCGTTGCCGAAATCTTACCGTGCACTTGGTCCAGCCCGCCGTCGTCATCATGCGGCACACTCCGCGCCCGAGCGTTCTGAAAGACGTAAAGCAGCAGGAGGAAACAGAGAATCGGTCGCGGCACGAGACGGTGGACGCTCGGTGACCGTAGGCGTCGAGAGTTGAGTGCTCTCATGGTCGCGGTCGAGAGGCGAATGTCTCGGCCACTTCTGAGCCGGTCTATGGTCAGCCATGCTACACGCATGGTGATACACATACTATCGACTAAAGCACCGCACGAGGACGGCTACATGCCGGCTCACGGACGAAGAAGCAAACCTGTATATGAATAACAGCCTGGCATTTCCATTTTTGCGCGCGGTACGTCTCTGCTCGCCACCGCCGCCGTTGCTTCTTCTTCTTCTTCTTCGGGGTTGCGAGGGAACGAGCCTCGCAACCAGATCGCTTGACCGGTTGTGCGTCTTTTCTATTGCGCTCCCGCGCGGAAATGGAAATCGAGCGCATTCGACTCTAGGAGATTTACCTGAACGCGCGATTCCCGTAACGTTATGGCGCAGGTGTAAACGCGCCGCGTTTGGCGTTTCGCGTTTATCGCCGTTCACTCTGGCTCTTCTATTTCTTCCTCTCCATTTCGAGGCAAGTTTATTTACCTCGGACGAGCGTCACTCGGCAAGTATGATTTACGCACAGGTGCACGAACGCGCTCACAGCGCGAACGAGTGATACCCGAGAGGGAGAGAACCAGGAACGCCGGTATACATAGGTAACTGCCCGGCATGTACATTTTTGCGACGCGGACAATCGCCTTGTACACACACACACACACACACACACTCACACACACACGTGCGCGCGCGCTCATACATCGTCGAACGCCGCGTACCGGGAAATGCAGGATTCACCGTCTGCATCTGAAAATACGAAAGACAATATCGGGCATATTTCTCTCGAACAGCTGCGAAATCTATGATTCGCAAATTGCAGTGCACACTGTTAATAGAGAAAATCCGGGATAGCTAAGTGTGCCGGTACGCACCGTAGAAACTAGAAGCACACTTCTGGTAAGATTACACGAACGACAGAATGTCAGTTTGGAGAAGAAACAGAGTGTTTGTCGAACGGAACTCGTGTTTCTTTACTTTTACCAAAAAGAGGTGTCTCCTTCCCGAGAACAAAACTCTTATTCTCCCAGCTGAACGATTTGACTTAACTCTTAAAAAATGGGTAAAGAAAACGGCGCGCAACTAGTAGAAAATAAAAACTGTTTTCCAATCAATTTTAGTCGTTCATAAAGCTTGAATCTTGATTTTATATAGAAAGACGTGTGGACTACGTAACTATGTTGGTAAGAAGCAGGAACTTAACAATTATAATTTTGTGGATCGGGTCATGCTTGAATAACTGCCAAGTGTATTTCTTAAGCGAGCAGGTACGAACAGGTAAAAAAGACGAAGCGAACGACACCTCCTGAGCCAAGAGGACGCCGCTTGAATCGAAGATTCAACCAGACTGGGTGTCTTAGGTTCGCGTTTAATACGGCCTCGCCGGTCCGTCCGCCGCCGTCGCCGCTCTCTCTCTCTCTCTCTCTCTCTCTCTGGAGAACAGCATAAAGGGTGAATTTTTAGTCCTTGAAGGGATCGAGACTCGAAGGAATGAAACGCCAGGAAGAAGGGGCGGAGGCGGCTGCGGCCTGGGAGCGGAGAGCGGAGAGTGCATTTTTGCTGCGGACTTTATTTTCCAAGATGGTCGGCGCGATGTTCTCCCTACCTTCCTTCCCTCTGCACTCCTTCCGTACTAGATTCACTGCGAGAAAGACGATGCGATAAACCTGTATCGTCTTTCTTACCTTACTTACCATCCACGTTCGTTTACGGTGCGTTCACAACGTTTAAAACGTAACTTTACCGCCTCGGCAACGATCGTCTCGATCGACTTCTATTTTCGTTGACGATTTCGCCGTTGGATTCTTCGTATTTCTCCCGTTTTCTTCGCAGTCCTGAAGTTCATATGTCTCGACACTTTAGTACGCACACATACACATAAGAGAGACGAGACGAGACAACACTTACGTATCGCGATTTCGTTTCTGTAGTGATTCCTCGTCATTTCTCTTGCACGAGATGAGGGCATTGAAATATAGCGGCGCGTAAAACAATTCTCGTCGATGTCTTGGTCTTAAAATACGTCGTCATAATAAGCGTATCGAGGCAAGCCACAACTGATCATTGACCATGACTATTCTTTGAACTACTTACAGTAGGACCGTTAATGAATTTTACCGCGCATAATGAAAGCCGTGATGCTTTGCTAGGAGATCAGTAAGCAGTTGCTAAGGAATTATGGACGTACGTTATTCGTTAACGATAACTGAATTGTTTTCACGACTACTTGCGGTTGTAACGTGCGCGCGCAAGTAGGTTCCTTCGCGTTATACGTACAAAAATTTACCGTGCCCGCGACAAAGAAGAAGCACCTCGAAGAGGAGCCAACAAGATTGTAAAGTATCTCTCGTAAAAATCGTGAGACTTCGCGGCGCCTCCTCGGGAAATCGCAGTGCTGCGCGTTCCTATTGAGCGTGCTCTTAGGGGGCACTCAGCCACTCCTTCTCAAGGTGATGGTCGTGCGTGAACGGTCGTTGCACGGTGACCGTGACAGTGATGTAAAAAGCGAAACGCGACACGTATCTGTCATTCCTCGCGTTTCTATTTTACTCAGGACTTACACATATTATCCAACTTTGGCAAATGGAAAAGCTGTCCGAATTAAAAACCCCAACAAGCTCTCATTTCGGCCGTCCATCGTATGAAAAGATAACTGCTCGCTCAAAGTCGTCGAATCGTCTGTTACAAATTCTTTTTAACATTGTTGAGAATTCGTAGATTAGCAAGCTTTGTATTGCAATATAATTTTTCTTTTTGTCTATTTATTTGAGAAAAAATTTCTTCTTACAAAAATTTCTCTAAAAAAAAATCATACAAGTTACATGGAAGGAAATAAGTTACAATTATAAATATACAAATATTATAAATAATACAAAGTAAAAGTTATAAATACAAAATATAAAATAAAAATAAAAAAATAAATAAATATAAAAAATAGAATAAAGTATTATATAATTGTAAGTATAAAAGAGTAATATCAATTCCAAGAATTAAATCCTGAACATTCTTATTATTGTCTTGGTCTTTAAACATTCGTATTTTAAGACCAATAGAATAAAAATATTCAGGATTGGGTGCTTGTGCGGGTGTTGGTGTTTGTACTTTAAAGAAAAATTAATAAGGAACGTGCGAAATTTGGGACGGAAGGATGGAAGGTGCGATGTTACGACGTGCCTCAGCGAGCTTCTCCAACGTGTCCGTTAAAATTGGTACCGACGAGGAATCCGAAAGAGCTGCGCAGGAGGTCAGCGCGCAGCGACCGACCGATTCCCTTTCGAGTTCGAGCCGCTGGTTGTTCGTTGTAGCGAATCATACGGTTGCTCGTGCGGGCTCGGACAGCACGTATGCCTCGTGTAGTTCGATTCCAACAGTTCAAGAAAAGGTAAAAGGCCGGCCGCGATAAAAAAAAAGACCGTCAGTGTCGATGAGGACGTCCGGGTGGTGGTAAACCGGTCCGAGCATGAAGACGATTGGCCGGATACTCGCGTGCGTGCTATTGGCAGCTGTCTTTGCGAAAAATGTGCTTGCATGGAGTGCCGGGAATATCGAATTTCCGAAGGAGCGCGCCAAAGAGATCCAAGCCGCCAACGTCACGAGACTCAGGCTGATCTCGCGACTGGATTCTGAGCTTGACGACTCCCGGGCTGTTCTGGATGACACGTCCAAAACGAAAGACGATAAAAGTGGTATGCAACTTCACTTACACGTACACGTTGATAGGCAGAGCGTTGCGCACACGAGGAGTAGCAACTCACGGTGATGTGGGACTTGTTAAGTTCGTCTTCAATCCTGAAATGAATCGAAGAGAACCGCACAAAATCTCACGATGTACGCTCCGGGAATTTAGTACGTCTGCTGATGTCGTGGATTTTCACCCTAGTGAACTAATATTTGCATTGGTAGATCGAGGGCTCGTGGAATCTCGCACGTTTGGAATAAAAAGATTGCAGTTCATGCTGATGCCGTTGATGTACAAAATGGGAGTAATGATGACGATGTTGATGGTGCTGACGGCGGTCTCAGTGAAGGGACTTTTCATCGGTGAGCCACGTTACTTTCGTGCGCGAGTGAAAAGTGTCACCGGCACGAATGTATAACGGTATTTCAATTGCTTAACGTAGCCTGCATGCATGATTAGGAGAGATCGCCGACCCATTTCTTCGCATATGAGGCGTTTGATATATTTGAGCGGTCATTAGATTCGTAACATTTCCTCATAACCATTTCTCAAGAATGTTGATGAATTCATTTTATGTCGGACTTTATTACTCACTTTATTAACTTCCCATTTATTATTGTTGATTCCATATACGGGGAATAGATATATACTCACATAAACAAGACAAATATACTACGCCACGTATGATTTATTGAATTGTAAATAATGTACTTATCGATTAATTTTAACATCTGTTATTCTTTTATGATTTCTATGATATATTGATATATTTGAGCGATCATTAGATTCGTAACATTTCCTCATAACCATTTCTCAAGAATGTTGATGAATTCATTTTATGTCGGACTTTATTACTCACTTTATTAACTTCCCATTTATTATTGTTGATTCCATATACGGGGAATAGATATATACTCACATAAACAAGACAAATATACTACGCCACGTATGATTTATTGAATTGTAAATAATGTACTTATCGATTAATTTTAACATCTGTTATTCTTTTATGATTTCTATGATATATTAATTTGATTATTTTTCTATGTAGAACGCATTATGACTATAGAGTTATCTTCTATGCTGTGAGGCACGACGATTGGCCGTCTCAGCGCAGAAATTACACGTTGTATCTTCCTACTTACAGGTATCATACTGTTAGTGCTGAAGCTCAGCGCGTTTTTAGCGAAATTTCATTCCGCCTGGCATCATCACGCAGCACCGCAAGAATGGTCGCCGCCGCAACCAATTCACGTGCACGTACACAACAGTTTTCCGTATACTCACACACATGGCTGGGCACCGAGCGGACCGGGAATGGACGAGCAACATTATTACTATAAGGGATAAATCGCGTACATCCGACGCCGTATCCGGTTCGCGATTTCCGGCCGGAAAATCGTGAGAGACGGGAAAGGGGCCATAAGAAGCTTCTCGACGGAAACCACGCATCGTCTGCGTGGAACTCGCTATGAGGTCATCGCCTTTTCGATGATTTACTCGATTTACTCGAGTGAGACGCAAAAGACGTCAGCAATGCAACCTCCAGCTTCGATTTCAAGCAATTTCAGACGGCGAAAGCGTACTGTCGACGTTTCCCGTGATTGTCGCGACGAATTGCGCCGTCGTAACTCACGACTGCAGCCATATCCGTCAGCGTTGCTTTTCAGAATCGAAATATTCTCCGCGGACGTTCGCGAAGAGTAAGCGCGGAGATATTCGCGAGACGCATAATTCGCGAAAGAACTTTGCGGCATGACGATCTCCGCGCGTTGTACCTCGTGCGTTGCCAGGCTCTACTTCTGCGGATATACCAAAGGAATTCCTGTAATGTATAATTAGAGCGCGTAACTCTACGGCGTTTGAAACGCGTGAAGTTTAGAACGCGCGCGTCACCGTTTAGATAGTCTTGTTCCGCACGGAAACAATTGGCCGTGCACGTCGTTGCTTGATAATAATAATAATAATTCAAACAAATCTCTCTACTTTGCTGTTCACGTCGTCGCGACAGCTGATCCGCTTTAATCAACACATCGTCGGGCTGTCTTGGCGCGAGTCTTCGCGTACTTTACTAACCTTCGCATTCCGTTTTTACTTCGCGATCATCTGTGGGGGAGTTGACTCCGCGGAGCTAGTTGACTATCAGGATAAGTTGGCGAAACCGATTATTTCTGTTATGTTTTAACAAGTCAAACGATTAAGCAAACGAAAGTTTTAAATGTGTCAATGGCGACTTTGAAATCCTTGCTTGCTTAATTCCGAAATCTATTAACATGTTGACTGCTAATTACGAGATAAATCGTAATTGGCCTTCTTGGCTAGGGCGCCGACTACAATTTATCTCGTAATTCTTTGACTTGCCATTTTCGTACAACTATGATTAAATTCGTGGTATATAATTAAGAATAGATAACTAAGATTAGATGGCTTCTGGGAAGGGAACAAAAATTCAAGGCTGGCTTACATGAATTACAGAAAATTTATTCATACATAAACAGAAAATATAATTATAAAAAATTTATTCAAAGTGAAAATCAACAAGCAAACATTCTGTATGCTTTTTGGTGATTACTATGTACTATAATTAGAGTTTTGAATAATATAATATGATTAAACCAAATTGGCTTTTGAGATCGGAATCCTGAAAATTGCCGTGGCAGTCAACGTGTTAAAGAACATGTAGAGAGATGGATAGTTATTTATTCTTCGCTGTACAGTTCTTCCGATCTATATCCTCTGAGCTCGAGACTGACTTTTGCTCGCTTGTCCCCGAAAGACTTGCGATTCTTTTATTCTTCATGTTTACCTGTGCACGTGCAAGGAGAAATGTGACGACTCTCGATCGTCTTGCGATCTTACGGCCGCCGTAAGCATGATCTGCACGCGACGCGTATCAACGCACACAACACATTCCCATATATATGCCGCTGGCCGGTAAATGAAATAAACGGTTCGAAAGAAACAGTTCTAACAACGCTCGTTGCCTACAAACAGTAGAAATACTCGATTTCGCCAATTTACGTCGGTAACCAACTAGCCGCGGTTTACCTTAATTGCCAATATCGGATCACGACAGAGAACGAACTCTCCTTCTTTGAAGAAAGCATATTCGTGGTGATAAGCTTCTGTCGTTAATTAATGTCATAGTTTAATATAGATTTATTTACGAGTTTATTTATTATACGAGACGTGCCACACATACATACACGATGAGCCTTCAAAATACGTAAATGAGATATATAACATCATGATGAAATTGTTAATCTTATCTGTAACTGCGAAAAATACGCAATCGCACAAAGAGTCAAGTCTCCGTACCAAAATGAAGAACACTTATACTTAGGAACTGTCGCATACCTCATCTAATTAGTAAGAATCTATTTATTGTACCAAGACATTGTAAAGATATATATTTTCCTTGAATTATTGTAATATATTTGTAAAGCAACGTCACGGACACGCATACATTTACCGTGAGGCATTATGAGCGTGATTATAAATTTTCGCACGCACGTGTGCAAATTGTTTCTGAGTGTCGACGAAGGAACGCTTTCCTTCTCTACTCTAAAGCGCGAATCAATCGAGTTCTATTCGACACCTCGCGGAGTCTATCGCTCGCCTTAGAACGATATTTACCGATATTAGCCGTTAGAGATCGATTGGTTTGCTCGTCGTTACCGACGCATCGGTGCTCGCCGATACGGCCAAGTTACGCTCGCGCTCCGGCGTAAATAGCGTTCTTCCAGTAGTAAACGAGACCTAGTTTCTAGTGTCTAGTGGGGTGCCCGAAGAGAACGAAAAAGGTAAAATATATATCTCTACTGCGCATCGCATAGCACGGTGCAGTCCGCTCACTGTACGAACGCGAGCACAACGCACCGTGCGAATCGGAAGGAAAAGCGCGCGGGCGAAAATCCTCGATATTTCCTCGTACAGGTCAGTGGAATATTCGAGCGAAAGAATCACAGTGACGCCAGTCAGCAGTAGTGTAAAGCCGCAAGGCAACGACATCGTGAAAGTTACGTGCATCTGCAGCAGCCGATCGTCCCAACGCGGAACATGGCTGGGACGATGTTATTTGCCTGCAATATTATTCTCTGGCTGGCGACATCATCGAAATTGGCGGCTCGAGCCGAGGAGAGGCAAAACGTCGGCTCATTGGCTCGCCCGAACATGACTCAGAGCTTGAACGTGTTCCCCGGGGTCAAGCTCTGCTCGGTGGACGGCGAGGTCGTGGTTCGCGTGAGAATGCGCGACCTACTACAAGGTATTTCGCAAGCATTACTTTGGCGCCCTAGCTTTTACGTTCGGAAAGAACGTATCAAGCATTTCTCTCTTATCCCTCAGAGACGGAAGTGCAAGGTCGCAAGAGGAGAGAGAGGACAAACATTCTGCAAAGACTCGGATACATGATGATGATGACACCGTTTGTCATGCAGGTTCGCCATTTTTATGATCGTCCGAGACGATCGCGCCTTCATTACTGATCGGGAAAACGATCGACGTTCCACATGCTCGTTTAACGCTCGTTTTCCCTTCTTTTCTTCCCGCAGGTGCTCTCTCTGCCGGGCGCCATAGCCTCCATCAAGATGTCACTCCTAAGGAGCGTCATGGTCGCGCAACTAGCGATCGCGATAATGTTCTACAATTTGATCAGGAGCACGGAGAACGCGGACGTGGTGGTGGTGCGCCAGCCGCAACATCACGCGCATTATTATCACAGTTATCATCCCGACGACGAGGACGAGTGGTTCGGTAGATGAGACGGAAGAGGAGACGCGACACATCCTGAGGATGTAAGAAGCCGGCCAGTTGACAGCTTCGACTTTCCAAAGCGACACACACTCGAACGTACGAAGAACATCTGTGATATAGAAAACGTCGTGATGAAATGCAAAATTAAATTGTTTATGTACATACATATATATACATTTATATATAAATTATTAAATTTGATTTACATGTCTCGTATGTGTGTGTGCGCGTTGATGCATATTCATTCGCGTATCATTCGGAGGCGCGTTCGACTCGCAAAACGCGCGAATTTCTTGCCGGTTGCGTGTTAACCTGTCCGCGTTTTACTTCATATTAAGCGAAGCGCCGCTTGGCAAATGCGATATCAAGGTGTCGAGTGACCCACTTCGGGGCCTCCACATAACGGCATTTCGGTCCAGATTCCCGCGGATGAGCGAGCAGCCGCCCGCCCGGCAGGTTTTCCCATTTCTCTCTCGGTAAATTCGACATCGAAATCGAAATGAGAATTCTGACGCGCTCCTCTCGTACGAGGTATTGCCGACGGAGCGGCAAAACCTGCTCAGACACGCGAATCTGAAAGAGACGCGCCGGGAGCAAGGTGGTCGCGCTTCGGCGCGTAATTGTAGCGCGTATCGAGGACTTTCGCGAATCGAATCTCCGAGAGTTCGATATTCGCGATGCGTACACGTGCTAGAAACCCGTCCTCTTCCGCCCGCGTGCGTGTCGTTGGTATGCCGCAACTATCGTCGCCCCTAACTCGGCACCTCGTCGTATCGGTCTGATATGCGCTACAAAAGTGCACGATGCACCGTGCATACGCGGTAAACGAGAGTTCAGACACTTACCACAAAACGCACGGATCGCGTAAACAATGTCCTGTCGCGACGCTACGTGAGAAAATTTAGGTCCCGCCGGCACCGATACTTCCCGATTCGATATTACGCGATCCGATTTCTAACTGCGGCTCGCTCTAGATCGCGTCGGCGGAAAGTCGAGCATTTCGCGAATACAATTAGGCTAGTGCTTATTACTCTGATATACCTTCTTTCCTTTGTGCGAAACTTCTTTTCTCGAATTCGCAACGAAGCGAAAAAGTTTCGCGAAACACCTTACAAATCGGAGCGTGCGATTCTGCCATTACGGAATCTTTGAAACGTCTAAAAATAATCTTTTCCTCTTAATTCTTCCATATATAGCCTCAAGGGAATTCTTCTGAAACCAAAAGGAAAGTGTTCTTAACATAAATTAATGTCCTCTTTATTAGGAGAGGAATACTTCTTAGATAAAGATTTCTGCTTGCAATATGGGATTACAGGAAATAATATTTTGCAACTAAAGTTTTATTTTTTGGTTGTTAGAATATTTTCTTTTTGTTTTTATAAAAAAATTTTCTCTTGAGACAATATGTACAAAAGGATATTCTAAGGATCAGATTATATTTTTTGAGTATCTTTGGTTGCAGATCTGAAGATTTTCGATTAATTAATATATAACTTAATTATAAAATAAGATAACTGTAGCTTACTAGTTATTTTATGTTAAATGTTTTCTTTATTTTTGTATGTATTTATTCTAGTTGTATTCATTTATTTGCGTGTCTTTGTATTTGTTCATTGTATACTTCTTGTATTTCTTGACTTATTAATTTTGCTTGTATGAATTTTATTTTGCTAATTTTATTTGCTATTTTAAATTTTGTATGTTTAGTTATTAGCTGTATATTAGATTTTCATTCTATTATTTTTTTAGTCCTTCCATTTTCTTTATCTTCTTTTTTATGTGTTTTCATGCTCTTGTCGATGTATCCATGCTGTTTTTTGTTTCTTTTATGCAGCTAAAGAGTTACCCGTCAATAAATTTTCTTTATTATCATTATCTTCCCGAATTGACTCGATCGCGCGACACGCGACGCTTTCTAACTCTCCGCTGAGATTTTATTTTGGGAAGCACGACGTCATTTCGAAAATCGCAGACGATAGATCCTCTAAATGGTGCTACTTTCGATGACCACCACTATGTGATTTCTAATCTCCCCTTGGAATCATTTGCGCGACCGGACAAAATTCTCGACGTCTATCGACATTAGAGTTCAGCGATGGCCGCCGCGTTTAGTGATTGAAACTTAACCCACAAATTTGTGTTTTAACATCATCCGTGTAATCTATCATCTATACCCATCTATTAACGATATTGGATATTAGCGTTGAGATAGGCGTCTCTTATAAGCGTCCACAACTATACATTAAAAGGGAAAGAGAGAGTGAGACGTATATCGATTTTGATTCGATAATGTCTGTTCCACTATCGTCGCACGTCAACCTGCGAATATGGCCCTGACCCTCATTTCGCAGTACTCGTTCTACATACTCGCGCACGAGTTCGCAAAGACGAGAGAAAAAGGATATTCGCCGCGTTGAAAATCTCTAATAACTCTCTCTTTGTCGCGCACGCGCGCCTGGGTATACGTGCGCTCTTTCGATCGATCTGTCGATCGATCGATCCATTAGAAAAAGGAAAAAAACTCTATTCCGACTAATCGGCCATGCAGGCTTTTCAATCGTCGAGCGGCTCGTGCACGCTCTCGTCGTACAATAGGCGACGTTTAAAATCACACCGCTCCGCTGACATTAGCCAACAACAAGAGTGGTGTCCGATTGGTTGACCTATGCGCTTAAACGTGCATTAATTTATTACAATCCCGCATCGCCGGTCCGACAGGCGCGCTCGACAACGTGCCCGAGGAACGGCTATCGATACGACAGCACCGTGAGAACACAAAACGAAAGGTCATCTAATAAATACGGATTTACTCACTTACCGTCGTGAACCTCTTCCCGTGCTTGTTGTGTTTGTCTCAATGCCCGGCTGGGGAAAGACTACCTCAGCTCCTTGGCGCACAGAGTCACCTGTGATTGTAACTCGGTGCGAATTCCAATGCTGCAGTTGATCCGATCGAAATGAGGGATTGATTTACATGTAAGAAACTCGATTTTGAGTTTGCACTGAGAGAAATTATCCGATAAAAAAATTAACAAACGGATATCTCCGATCAAAACCGATGAGTTTTTGTATCCGATCAGGAAACATCCGATAAGAAATATCGGTTCATAATTTTTTTATCAGTTTATTTGATGAAATATAGAGTAAATTCGGATAACATGGTCATACTTTCTTAAAATGCAAAGAAAATACATTTCTTATTGTTATTTCTTAATAGCGTTTAGCACATTACTTCACTGAAACCTACAATATATAATACCATCAGATTTGAAAGAAAAATACTTCAGTGAAATTATTTATTACAAAAATATCAAAACGTGAGCATTGGCCATCTTATCTAAATTTTTAAGACAAGATGGCTATATGGAATAGATGACTCATACATATTTTATGTTCAAGATTCTGTACCTATTATTTTATAAAATAATGAAAAAAATATGATTTGATATATTCATTTTAGTATAGGATATTTAATACATATTATTGGTGAAAAATAATACACATATAAAATAGAAACCTCTATTACAAAACTTAAATTCTAAATCCAATTTTTGATCAAAACAAACAAAAATTGCACATAAGATCTAATTACTGTAATATTGAAAGTAATTTTTGAACTTTCGTTTTATAAATGTTAGAATTATAGTGGGCTATCTTACCCAAAATGTGAGTAAAAGACGGTAATAGTACTTATAAAATAATGAAAACGAAAATAAAAATGCATGTTATATTACAATTTACATACTTTATGTATCTAACGTTGATTGCGATAGCTTAACTGTAATTTATTCGACGTTACAGCAAGTATTAGTGGATACATGAGAAATTTTATAGGTATTCGAAAATAAAAATATAGTATAATATTCATAATTTTGCTATTTCGAAAAATGTACGCACATACACTACGATAAATATCGATTATCTTTGTGACTGACTACACAAACGCGATGTTTTGCAGTTATTAGAGAAATTACAGCCTATGACCATCTTTCCGGTATGGCCATAATACCCGAGTTTAGCTTAATCAGAATTTATTCTGATCGGAAGTATCCGAAATTTAATCGAATAGTGAGATCGGATATAAAAATTGATCGAAATTTGATCGGAAATATTCGTTTGTTAATTTTTTATCGGATAATTTCTCTCAGTTATAGTCAACCACCGTCGCGATCACCGCTTCCGGAATTTCGTGGCGATTCCGCTTCTGGAATTTTGATGTTTGCTCTTCGAGTTGACAGAGCCTCGTGCCCGGCGAGAAGACGAGGACGCGTAAGGAAACAGACGCGTTCTTATCCTTCGAGATTAGCACGGGAAATTTAGATAAGATGTTAACAATGTTCGTCGTGCCGCAGACACGATCGTGAGTCCGCGGGAGGTGAAGCGCCGTCGATAGATCAATACAGCGTCAGATAGAAATCCGCCGGCGTGCAAACTTTCACGACGACAAAAATGCAATCTGCAACGGGCAGCAGCGGCGCGTGTTCGATCAGCGACGATTCACGAGAGTCAAGTGGATCCCGCGCAATTATTTCTACGCGGAACGTGCAAAAGCAGGGGAATGGTCGTAGGCTTGTGTGCCGATTTTTCTCCCCCGGCGACCCGCCGCCGTCCCCTCGTCCGCACAGTCCTCCCTCTCGTCTGCATATTCTACCGCGTTGCGCATCATCGTCGGGTCGTTTCGTCGCGGATAATCCACCGCGAAGACGGGAATGTTTTTTTCTCGTTTGCGGTTACGTCAGCGCTGCATGTGCTCGCAGGATTCCGCTCCTCTTGCGCCGTCGTCATTCGTTCGCGCGAGCCACTCGGAGCCACAGAGGGATCATCTCCGCGGGATGTCGTCCTTCATGGTGAGGGCGCGCAAGGCCGTGCGGAAGGGAGTTTTCTTTCGTGTATTTCTTTTGTTTTCTCTCCTCTTTTTCGGGCGTACCTAAGGGAGACGCGGCTTTCGTTGCAGAAGGGATGCTGCGTATCTCTGTGCCTGCTGCTGCTGTGTCGTCTGGTAGCGCGGCATCACGCTTTCGCGGACCAAAGCACTGAGCGACCCTACGAGTTCTCCTTCAATATCCTCGATTTTCAACATAGATTCGAGAAGAAAGGTATTTCAGATCGGGAAAGTGTGCAACGACAATTTTTTGACAAGTTATAATCGCGAAATTAGACTAAGAATGTTGCAATATCAAAATCAGAGCAATGAGATAGTGTACGAAAAAATTACAACTAACATATTATTATTATTGTTGTTTTGGAAAAGTTGTATTTTTGAGAATATTGACAAATTTTTTCCAATTTTTCAAGTGTATTCATATGTAATTTACTTTCTGCTTGCGTGTTTTTCCTCCTCTTTTTTTGTAAATTATTTTTTATATCTATTTTTCTTCTTGCATTATTTCGAAAAAGTTACTCCATTTGCGAATAAATTGTCTCATACTGATTTCGAGATTGTTGAGATAATTGTATGCTTCCGGTATTTTGGAAGAATTTCATTTTGAGAGATCATGTTTCGGGATCATGTTCTCGGCAAATTGCGCCAGTTTATAAATTTCGGTACATTATTTCATGACAACTCACTCCCACCGACATTTGTTCCCTATTCGAGACGCCGACGGGCTTATCAACGGGGAGTACGGGTTCATTACGGCGGATGGTGTATATCACGAAACTGCATACGCAACGGACAAGAACGGTGATTTTATTATTACCCGAATGAGAAACCGGAAAATAACCAGCCGTAAGTTCACGCCTGTTATTTAGAGACTTACTCGATGAATTTACATACCTCGATCGCTTTGGATGCATTATTAAAACGCCTCCTGTTCGCTCAACAAGTGAAGGATGCCCAAGAGATATTCAAGGATCGGCCGGAAGCTGCCAAGAAGTTGGTAGAGGCGATTTCGAGGGCCTGCAGCGGCTGCAAGATCGTCGTCGCGAAAGACGAGGAGCCCGCGAAGAGACCTGAGAAACGCGGTAAGACGACGTCCAGCACTTCGTTTCAATTAACACGCTGCCTTGTGAAATTAACACACTACGCTCGGTGAGGTTTCTCCCTTTCACGATGGATCGCTGATCGATTGATCGATCGAGCTGGACTCTCGGTGATTCTGCAGAAAAATGATCATGGTTCCATTTCTGGACTTTATCACATCGATCACTGTATCACCATAACTGCACAGACATCTAAGTCAGCGATACGTCAGCGCGCGTAAAAAATGTATGCGTATTCGAGGGTAGCCTTTCGAGACACATAAACCTCCGCGTGGTTGACGCGTGGAAACGTGTCAAGAGAAGAGAAAACCGACACGATTCTCCCGATTCCACAGTGGACGCAGTGGTCAACAAGTTCCGCAAGGAGAACGTCATATCGATGACGCGGCCCAAGGAAAACGTCGTGAAGAACGTGATGCGGGAGGCGAAGAAGCTGCTGCCGGAGCCCGGCTCGAACGCAGTGAACGATCAGGTGCTGGAGAAGATGGCGAACGATCTGTACTATCAGTTCAACTACACGATCACCACACACGGACACAACGAGGACGGTTATCGCAGCGGCCGGAAGGACGGCAGTTATCGGTCGCAGAGCGAGAACGGCGTCGAGACGCGGGTGAAGTATCTGTCAAACGAATTCGGCCATCAGCCGAACATCACGTTTGCGCCGCGCGCGAGCACCGACGAGGAGCACGCTCTCAAAGGATACTCCTTCCGCTGGTACTGGCCGTAAAAATATCGTACTTCTGCTCTTTATCTCGACTCCGGGATTTATTTCTTCTTTTTCTTCTACTTTTTTGTTTCTTCCCGGGAATATATTCGCGGGATTATACGCCACCGAACTGTCGATTTAGTCTCGGAGGAGTCGCGTCTGGGGATTCGCGAGACTCCGATTTTGCGACGAGCGGTCTGGCGACAAGTGATTTATCGTAAGGGAATCGACGATTTGTTGAAATCGAAGTCGCTCCAGTGACAAAACGAGGATTCATAATTGGCCACAGTTAGGCAAGATCCAACCCACGAAATTGTGATGAATTGAATGATTTGAATTTTTCTTTTTTGCCAATATGTCTTTCTACACGAAATAAAAATAATTCAAGCCTCAAGTTGGGCTCTCAAAATTAAAAAACAGTTTTTATTTTCTACTATTGGGAGTACAAATAAGTCTCCGCCGTTTTTTATCAAAAATTGGGCATTTATTGTGAAAGAACGGTATCTTATGTTTTATTCAAAGTATTGTCCATCGCTAGCCACTACTTTTTCCCATATTTCTGGCAGTATACGGATACCGCGTCGGAAGAACGCTTCATCTTTTGAGGCTATCCACGAATCGACCCAATTTTTGGTATCTTCATATGATGTGAAGTGCTGCTCAGACAGGCCGTGCGTTATCGATCGAAACAAGTAATAGTCAGAGGGAGCAATGTCTGGTGAATACGACGGGTGGGGTAAAACTTCCCAATTGAGTGTTTCCAAGTAGGTTTTGACCGGCGCCGCAACATGTGGACGAACATTATCATGCAGAAGAATAATTTTGTCGTGTCTAGAGTAGTAGTGGGCGCGTTTTTCTTTGAGTACTCGGCTCAATCTCATCAATTGTGTTCGGTAAAGAGCCCTATTAATGGTTTCGTTCAGTTTGAGCAACTTATAATACATGACACCAAGCTAATCCCACCAAATACACAACATAAGTTTTTTTCCATTAATATTCGGCTTGGCTGTCGATGTTGAAACATGGCCACGTGGTCCTCATGATTTCCTTTTCTTTGGGTTATCGTAGTGGATCCATTTTCCATCACCAGTGACTATATGATGCAAAAAACCCTTTCGTTTATGCCTGGCAAACAGCATTTCACATGTGCAAAATCGGCGTTTAACGTTTCTCGGTTTCAGTTCATATGGAACCCAATTTCCTTGCTTTTGAATTATTCCCAATGATTTTAAACGATGTGAAATTGCTTGTTGAGTCACTCCTAATGTAAGTGTAAGTTCTTCTTGCGTTTGGTACGAATCTTCCTCCAATAATGCTTCCAATTCCGTGTCTTCTTACACTTTCGGCCTTCCGCTACGTTCTTTGTCTTCGACGTCAAACTCACCGTTCTTAAACTTTTGAAACCACTCACGACAACTTCTCTCACTTAAAGCAGCCTCACTATATGCTTCTACAAGCAATCGATGCGCCTCAGCTGCAGATTTCTTCAAATTAAAGAAGTAAATCAAAAGTTCCCGCAAATGACGCTTATTCGACTCAAAACTCGACATTTTCGCACGAAAAAAATTATGTGATGCTAATACAAAATTGCTAATATTTCAAGGTTATGATGTTGTCAGATGTCCAACCTTACGATATGACGTTTTACATCTGACAATTTTAACCATAACTTACTGGTGGGTAACCATCTTTTGTCAAACAGCGGAGACTTATTTGTACTCCCAATAGTTGCGTCTTCTCCTCATTTTTTAAGGATTAAGCTTGTCAATAAAAACTAACAAAATATTCTTAAAGAGAAGAAAATTAACTGTGTTTGACTTCTTGAACGATTGCGAGAAACCTCAGTGTTAACATGACTTTTTAAGTCATGTTTCGAATTTTCATTTTCACTTTTCTCGAAACGCACTCCATGTGAGCTGGATCATTCTTGCATAACTACGGCCAATTATTAGCACTAAATCATGTAAACAATATATCATCCTCGCTGTTTTATTCACTGAACACGCTTCTTTATAGCCTTGCAATTGAACTCGCGTATGCAAATGTACGATTTCAGTTAAGTTTCGCGTAGATATTCAGAATAAATGCTAGAGATACGGTCAAGAGTAATTCGTTTAGTTCAACCCGATCGCTCACGAACTCATTGAACTCTTAGTGAGTATCAAACGAGGTGACGCCTGGTTTCTAACAAGAATTCCCTCGAAAGCGTTATAAAAAGCGCGAAGATGTAGTCAAACTGGTAGGTTAGACTCGACTGATTGTCAGTCGAGGATGTTATCCGGGTTTTCCGAGACTCTCTGTGAGGAAAAACACTAGAATATGACATTGTATCTCGTGAAAATATCGCGATATAATTGTTATTACACCGAAGGATTATTAATTTACACTGTGGAGGATAGCAAATATCCAATATCCACATCGGCCAGATGTTTCGGAGATTATTACCGGGGTAACGCGAGCTGCATCTTCGACGCGGTAACGAACTGCGATTTTACCGCCGCGCGTAAATAATACGGGATAACGGTTGTGCGACGGTAAAACCCGCGCGCCGTGACATTTTCGTTCTATACAGCATTCGTTTATCCCTGGTTGGTCTCTTCACGCGATTGTCCTTTTCTCCGCGGGAGGAGATGCAGTTATACATTCGCAAACATCGGATAAAAACATATCCCTGAAAGGAATCCGCGAAATTCCCGCGAGAGATCGTGTTAAATGTTCTCTCCGTGACGGAGGATCTTTACGGACACGTGTCGTATTTCGTTTCATTATGACAGGTCTCAGACGAAGCCGGTAATGCGCGGACACCTTATCGTAATGCGCAATCACCACAAACGCCTATATTACACGCCATAATAGACGATTCAGCGCGACGCGAGTGAAATGCGTAAAGGGCGAGCGTAAACCTCCCGCGGTGAAAGGTAACGCGAAAATTCCTGCCGATTAACGCGTGGTTCACGAAACCTGGCCGGCCACGCGGCCCATGCTGACTCGTGTTTACGCACGCGGTTAATTAACAGGACAAAACGACCCCATTGAGTGACGTAGAGGCGGTGAGCGAGCGCGCGCGTGACACTGAAACACTCTGTTCTCCTAAATAGCGGGACGCTATTCTTATGGTAATGGTATGAAGCCGTCAGCTGTGACAGCTCGCTCCTCCCGGAGAAAGGGATGCCCGGCGAGCGAGAACGAAGTTCAGAAAGAATAGGAAAACGACTGCATGTTTCGCCAAGTGTGATCAGGAATGATCGATCGAACGACGCAAGGAAAGCCGAGAAGTATGCTGAACACATGCAACTTACAGTCTGTGCTCGGACGTCTTTCGAAAGTAACGATTTCACTTGTGATTTGATCCCTGTTCGTTCTTAAAACGCCGATAAAAGACGGCGAGCCGTGGAATTGGGTTGTATTTGCATCGTTGTCGCTTCGGCGAAATATTTATCATCGATTCACACAGTCGAATCGATTCACACGACATACAATCGCGAGGACTAAAATGCTTGGACAATAACAATACCCAAATTTAGACATTCTTATTGTTTTGGACTTTAAACATGAATAGTTATGAATGAAAACTTTCAATATAGAAAAAATATATAAATAATAGTAATAATAATATTTTATTAAACGCTTAATTAACATAAAATATATAGTAGAGAGATGTTCAGAATTAGATACGTTATTAATGCTCACGCATTGGTACTTTTGTCATCGCTGTACAATCGCTCGTGTATCGTTCTAAAATTAGTGTCAATCCAAACTTTATTGGATATAAGAGAAAGACCATAAAAATGCCTCATGAATATTTAAGAACATGCTTGCGACTGTGAAGACATGTGATAATTTCCGCGTGTTGTTTTAAAATTATCTCACCATCGTCACAGTGACCCGTAATTTATTTTACACAAAAAAACCAAAAAAAAAATAAAGATGTCTCAGAAATATTCGAAAGCAAAGTTACAATTCGAGGACAGCTGATGATTTTCGCGATAAAAGAGGAGAAATTATATTCTCGCTCTTATCACTGTCATCGCTCAAAGATCCAAAACCAGAACGTGAATTAAACGATGCAAGGTGGAAAAACAGGAAAGTTCCGGAGGAGAAGAAGAGAGTGCCACGAGGGACACCGAGAACGAAAGTATCTCGATGTCTCGTTGGCGAGACATAAATAACGCGAAAGCATGCCCCATGTATCGCGATGACGACGGTGGCGGTGGCGGCGGCGGTGGTATATCCATATTCCGATATGGAATTCCTTCTCATTTCTCATGCGGGCCTGAATCCCACCGGACTCCCTCCCGGGGGACGTCGGGAGGGATCGTTCCTTTGCAAACGGTGGCCGCAAAAGGTCCTCCACCGCAGGTGGAGGGGTGCCCGCTAGATGCGTGCGAAGCCAAACCCACTATTGGCGGAAGTTGGGATGGAAGGGACGGCAGTCTCATATATGTTCGACCACGCACGCTCCACAACCACTTGGAGCTTGTGACACGCGGTCCAAGGCCACGGCGGGCGGTCAAGATCAGGAAGGAAAAAAACGCGGAGTACGAGAGGGCGACGTACGCGGCGTCCAGTCACCGGGGAAGTCATCGTGCGCGCGATTATCTTGGTGACAGTGTGTCTTGATCGGTGAAAATCGACGAGCCAACCGACCATGAGGACACTCGCTTCGACCTTCCTCTTGGTCCTCCTCGGATTCGCGCTGCATGCCCGCTGCGAGGAGGTGGCGGAGGAGAACGCTCGTGATGAAGAGAACGGTATTTTGGAGTGTGTATTCGAGGACAACACCGGCAACTGTCTGAGGACGAGGCTGGCTCGCGACCTGGACCAGATCGAACAAGAGGTTACTGGGAAGAAGAATGAACCGCCGATGAGCGTGGTGATCGAGCAAGCTGGCAGTATCATCGCGGAAGTCGTTGACGATCTGCAGGAGACCGGCGCGGAAGGGATCATCGGGGAGGATGAGGCTCAAGACGACGAGATAGGTAAGAATCAAGGAACATCGAAACTCTCGATGAGAATAGAGAAGTCATTTTATCTGTAATTTTTGAGTCATCTTTTTCGTTGCGATTGAATACTGCATGAAAAGTTTCTCGCCATGAAGAAATCACCGTCTTCTTCTGAGGCTTCCAACTTTAGGCCGAGGATTTTAATTGTAAACCGAGACACTTAATCATTTTTAAATTGCTTTCCAATTTATTTATATTCTTTTTCGTTGCAATTTTATATATAAATACTACATGATATGAAAAATTGCTTGCGATAAAATCGCCGTCTTCTTTCGATCTATTGTGAATGCTTTCAATTTTAGGCTAAGGTTTTTAATTTTAAACCAAGGCTTTTAATCTGGAATTTTCTCCAAATTTCCTTATTATTTTACTTCATTTGTTCAGAACTTGTTTTTCAATTAATTTTTTCGATTGTTACCTCAGTATCATATCAAAGCTAAAATTTGATAATACATTATGATTTATCCTCATAAAATTACATAAATTTCCGTTCACCTCTTGTGTATGGGCAAAGCATTACCGAATGGCACGTCGTATAATGAAGCCACGTCGCGATTCAAATTCTTAATCGACAGGACGGCGTGTGTGGAACGCATGACAAAGCGATTCGGGGTCTCTCCTTCGTCCGGAGAAGCACCGTTGAACAAAGTCGACTGGTTAACTCTTAACCAATCTCGCATGAGCCCTCCTTTATTGGAGATGTAACGACAGGAAGTCGGTCCATCTGGCCACGCTGCAGATTACCGCGCCAATTTTCTCTTCCGTTACACCTGCTTTTCCTAGTTTTCCATAAACGACGCTATTGTAGTCGAGCGAGGAAGGAAACGCGAAATAAAGCCAATCGGGGTAATTTCGACGGAAAGTCATAAATAAGAATTAACTCTTACACACGGACATTTCTTACCGGCGCGACTGAATTAACGACCGTAATGAGGGACAGTCGCGAAACGACAATCGCCGTCCACTGAAACAACGTCCTACTTGTATTCAGCCGGCGGGTAAATCGAATCGACGGCGGAGATATCGCGACGTCGTTAAACGTTACCAGTGCGAATGCATCGGCGCGACCATCCTGAATGGAGTTTGTGAATGAACCGGCGTAGCTGGCGCGACAAAACAATTCACATTGACGAATTAGGCGACGATGGGGCACGACGCGACGACTTATAAAGGTGAACGAACTTCGTGTTTGCGTAACGTTAACGTACGACTGGACGCGATCGCGTGAGCAAACGCCAGAATTAGAACCAACACTACACGGAGAGAATTTTATAATAGAAGTTACTATAGAACTTTGTAACCGAGAAATTGATCGATATCCTGTCAATTGACTATAATATAATAATAATAAATATACAATGTAGCAAATATAAGCTGATGTCTAAGAGTCTAAAACAACAGCTTTGCAATTGATGTTACAGTCGTGCCTGAACAACTGAGATCTTACAATTAAAAGTGACCTTTATTATCTATCTTTTCATCTCATATGTGCTACTTATATTTTAGTAAGTGGAATGTGTGCCACTGAAGAAATTGCTATATTTTTAGCCAGATTTTTTATACCTCTGACGAAATTGTTCTTCAGCAAAATGGATCTCACTAACAGTCCGTTCTTGGACTACTAAAAACAGCAAACAATCGAAAAGAGTTGATGCGATCTACAGGATATATTTATAGGAAACTATTCTCTCTCCGTGTAAGCAAGATGGAGAAAATCCGAGAAAGGAAAAGGTACAAAGAGACCGGGCGACAAGATGAACCGCAAGTAAGACGCGCGATCGGGTCAATAACGAACGTTTAAACGTTTGCACGCAATTGTGCTCGCGCGCGCGTGTCGCCAATTCCGTAGCGTAGGCTCGGGCAGATCGACGGTAACGGTAACAAATCGCGCTACTCTGTCGCCATTGTCCCGGCTATCATTTCCAGCAAAAGTCACCAGACGCGAATCATCCATACAAGAAGGAACAAGTGGGCGGGGGCAAGAGATAAATGGCAATTCGCGAACGTTAATTTCCATTCGGCGGAACAGGCGGAACCGGCGACCCTGGCGATCGCTCTAACAAGAGATTAATCATCGGCCCGACGAAAATGCTCGTTTAGGCAGATGGACGGTAACGGTACGGTGGCGCATTATCTTCGTTATCTTTTGGAGCAAAAAATTGTACGGTACTTCAGCGAGGCAAATTGCCGACGACACAAACAGAAGCAATTTGCTCGGCTGGGCGTTGTTATGCCGATTGATAAACACGCGATATTCGTATCGATTTAGGACTTCTGGACGCGGGACTCTCGATTGATGACGTCGGAAGTGAGAAAACGCGTGCCCAAAATTCTTGCGAAATACGCTGAAATAAAAAAACGTAAAGTGAGTTTTCGGGGAGGTTAAGCACATTTGGCCGCAGTGCGAGATCCAACTTACATGAAGTATAAAACATGAAGATAATTTTATACACGATTTAAGAGGTCTAAATAGCACTGAAGTTTTTCGTAATCGTTCAAGAAGTCAAGCGATTTTCTTCTCTTTAAGAATATTCATTGACAAGCATGACCCTTAAAAAAGGAAAAAGAAGCAAAAAAATAAAAATTGTCTTTTAATTCATTTTAGACGCCTATAAGCCTATAAGACCTTTCTTGTTTTATACAGAAAGATGTATAGACTATCTATTGGTACAAAAAATTCAAAGATAATAATTTAGAACAACTATCCTCACCTTCGATTTTGATGAAAATAAGCTCATTCGACGCGTTTTTGCATAAAATAAAAGAATCTGGCCGAAAGAAATGTCGCTCCGTCTCGCGAAGCGAGATATTTAGCGTTAAAGTTAGTCACATCCGAGGTTAAGGAATCTGCATCTGAACGTAATGTGAACTAAGGGCGCGATCCATTAGACGCTACAAATGCTTTGAAGCGCAGTATAGATCAATCATGGCTTCTTCTTAAGCGCTTCAAAGCGTTTGCAGCGTCAAATGCATTGTATCTTATACTGAGATGCATTCAACAACGCACTCAATTATTTTCTCAATAATTTAGGTTTTATATAAATTTTTGTTTTTGATTAAAGCAGAGAATTTACATATGTAATTTAAAAAAATATATGCTTTATATATAATTTAATATATAAAGTATAAAATCATAAATAAATTATAAAATCATTGCTTTATTAAATGGTTCATCGTGCCTATTTCTGAAAGTAAATAATGTAATTCAATGTAATTCAAGATTGGTAAATAAATATAAATAAATTGACATAAAATAAATATTTACTGCTAAATTTTCTGCTTTAATAAAAAAAAAACAATTCATATAAAATCTAAATTATAGCAGAAAATAATTGAGTGCGTTGTTGAACGTATCTCAGTACAAGTCTAGTTCGCATTACGTTCAGATAACAGATTTCTTAACCTCGGATGTGATTAACTTTAACGCTAAATATTTCGCTTTGCGAGGCAGAGCGACATTTTTTTCGGCTAGATTCTTTTATTTTATGCAAAAACGCGTCGAATGAACCTATTTTCATCAAAATCGGAAGTGAGGATAATCTAAATAATTATCAATTCAAAGATCATTATGTGGGTTGGATCATCCTTGCATAACTATGGTTGTTTTTGTCAAATTCTCGCGCACACATGTGTCGATCTTAATGAACGTGAATAATCACGCGGCATGCGCGAGGAAATTCGGCCGCGAAAGCGATCTTCGTGTCTTCTTAAGAAAGTCGCGCGCCGGCTGCGGGCGATTACGTGGACCCATAAGCCAGACGAAATACACTCCGGGTTAAGGTTTGTGGGTCAGCCTCGCTGTAGCGGACCGACTGCTACGCCGTGTCACCATCCTTGTCTCGCACCTGCCGGATTATGCTGCTCCAGCCGTATTAGCTGCCGCGTGAGTTTCACACACACACACACACACACACCGCGTGGTAGAGAGATTAAATCTTTGGGCTATTATAACAAAATATATTCGCGCCAATTCTCGCTGCGAGACCTCTCCATAAATCGTATGAAAAATGAGTCTGTGTGCGGCTTCATTTTTCTAATTACTCGCGCGATGCTGCACAATCCTTCCCTCGCCGCGAGCTAACTCGAAATTTACATCACGTAATCACGCGAACGTGCGTAATTTTACCTCTGTCTTTGTTCCTATTCTCAGAAGAGGCGCGCAAAATAAAGTTCGGCAAGAAGAAGAAGAAGAAGCAGCTGCAGAAGCTCCTGGGGCTCGCGATGCTGTTGAAAGCGAAACTCAGCCTGCTGTTGCAGATCATCAGCACGCACTTCCAGCTCAAGTTCTTCGTCATCGCCATCATCTCCCTGCTGATGAACGCCACGAGGTTCTGGCTGGAGCTGAAGAAGAGTCACCCGTCCAAGGTGATCTACTATGAACACGCGCAGCATCAGCATCATTACGACCACGACGATCACGATCACGGCTACTGGGGAAGATCGTCGAACGAGACCCCCATGGATCTCGCTTATCGCGCCTATGTGCCCATGGAGTGACGTTGGGTTTCGCGCGCAAAAAGAGACCGGAAGTGACAGCACCGAGAGGACCCATGAAGGAAAAGTCAAACGGCGAAACAGCGAATCTCACCTTAAAATCATGACAAAAGAGACCGCCCTTTATTTATTGTAAAGATAACGAGTTCAGTGCGAAAGCAGCTTGACAGTGTGCATACACGTAACGACGCGTTTATTTATGTCATTAATTACTTAACTTATCTCGTCGCGCCTGGAGCTCAGTAAACGTGGGATGATCCGGATCTCTTTCTGTCTCTCTGGATCGCGAAAATCCACATTGTCACATATGCAGAAACCACAACCGACTCTTTGGCCGACCAGAACGTCTCATCATTTCGCCTTGAATCATACCAAAGTTACTTACGAGTACCTGTACGCTAGCTCGCCGCGTGGGCGATTTGTTAAGATCAGCTGTTGTGATTATCGTGAGCGAACACGTTATCACTTGTATCGTGACTCGGCAAAGCAACAGCTAGGTCTCAAAAGTTGAACTTCTCTGCGCGGACGTTCGTCACGCTCGGAAAAGGTACAAAATTAGACGTCCGCGTATCTTCTTTATAGGACAGTAGTAATTTATGATAGAACAACGAATTAATTTTTACACAGGACCTTGTACGTACTAAAACTTTTGATAATAAACTATACGAGTATTACACCGATCCTCTCTCTCTGTTTCTCTTTCTTTTTTCCACAAAGTAGAAACAGATAAAATAAAATTATTGTTTCATTTTAATCGTTTGTTCTGCGGTATTGTGTAAAAAAAAAGAACTATACTTCTTTAAGTTAAATGCATTTGCGAGTTCTTCGACTGCAGGTATCGCGTTTACCGACGAGATGACATAAAAAATCGTCACGTCTCTATCGCGCGAATCGCACACGACCTTCCTCAGCCGCACACTGGGTGGACCATCCTGAAATCTTGTATTCCTCGTCATGACGCCGCGGACAATGCGACTGGAATCTTTAAAGAGCGACGATACTTTCGGGGTGTTCACCTTGCTACTGATCGACTCGACGATAAACAGAAGAGATTTGTGCCGCGCTTGCGGCGCATCGATGCGCCGCCGGGGAATAAATCGTCTCTGGTGAGGGGAAAACGTGTCGTCAAAATTATATGGAAAAATCGGAAGATGACGAATGAATGTTCAATTTTTAGTTTTGCAAGAGCATGAATTCGAGATGGAAGACAACGTTGATTTAACACGCTAATTGCTCGCGCTGATTTTCACTGATTGTGCAGATGATTAGCCGAAGAATTAACTATTCAAAGCACGGTAAATATGTATAACTTTCACCTTGCTTCATTAATTGCGCAATTAATTGCGCTTTATACGCGGCTCAACGAGACGCGATCGCGCCGTACTGCCAATCGTTGTTTTGCAGCGACTGTGGTGTTGATTATTAAAAAAATACTATTCGCTCGCGACAATTGGATAAAAAGATTAATATGCCAAGTCACGAATCTTTTTCATGAAAAAAACTCTTTTGGCAAGAGTCGACGCGGCTATCGAATTCTGACAAAGAGAAAGAGAGATCGTTGTCTACACACAAAGAGTCACCGAATGCCCTCGTATTGGACGTTTCTCGATGTCCTCATGATCGACGACCAGAAGCGGGGCCGATTTTGCAATCGCGCACCAACATGTAGAGACTTAAGTATTCACGTCCCGAAGAAATGCCGCTCGCAACGCGGCCTTAACGAAGATAAGGCCCGTTGGCCGGGGCTGCCCTCGAATTTTGACGACCGAATTCGCGCGGCACCCTCGTTGGAACGAAGCCAATCGTGAAATGGCATCAGCGCGTCTTAGATTTTGAGGGAAATGAGCAGAATCACAGTGAGTAGAGAAGAAAAATTCGTATGGTTGCAACAAGATCTCAACTGGTTGTCGCCGGAAATTCAAATCGAGCTCCGACGCTTCTCAATACACACATTTTCGACTCACGCGTGTAATTTATATCCGGCCTTCGGCGATGGATGCCTCTTCGGGATCCTCATAGGCGATTCAGCGCGCCTGGTTCCTCTCAGAAGTAATCCTCTTTCTCTTTCAGCAGAAGGACGCGTCTGACTACCAATGCCGCGATAGATTATCAGCGTGTCGTTATTTAATGTCCCGTAGACAATGCAAGTTTTGTAAGGAATCACTCAACGTGCCTCAATTGACTGTCGAGAAAAAAGGGTCGTCGCGGATTTAAAAGCGTGAGGTCGCACTCTGCAGTGACATTTGCAATCTTAAATGCGATGCCTCGTCAAAGTGCATTCCGAAATGACAAAAATAATTCTAGGGTTGTATTCTAAAATATCCTTTCGAGGAAAATTTTAAACTTACTATAGTTCGCGTTACACATATAAATAGTAAAATTTTCCTCTAAAAGGACGTTTTAAAATGCAACTTTGTATATGGAAAAAAGATAGTTGATTTACACTGAGAGAAAAAACTGGTAACTATAACAAACTGCATTTAGTTACAGAAATTCACTGAATCCTTAGTAACTAATACTAAATATGATAATAATTACCAAATATTTAATAGATCGGGAGTATGACGTAATTGCATTCACAGTAATATCAATTAAATAATTTAGTAATAGTTACTTAATGTTAAATATTTAATATAAAATATATTACAGTTTTGAACAGTTATTTGATAATTGTTATGAAATCGTTATATCCCATATAATAAAAAATTCAGTAGGTACGAGTTCTATTTT